AGGGGACTGGTTGTGCTCCCGATACGTCACACTGTACCAGCTTTAATAAACGCACTGTATCTAACCAACCACTTAATCAGTACGCTACCTAACCCGCAAGTGCTGATAATAAAATACAAATCAAAAGGACTCAGCCATTTAGAAATATACTCTAATGAGTTAGATATATTTAAATGGAACAAAATATTAAAGTTATTTGAAGTAAATATTTTAGAACTTATTTGGCTAGCGTAACTGAACTATGGATCCTGTGGGTGTGTTGCCAGAAAAAAGGAGTAAAGTGAAATGCCATTTGAGCCTGATCGAACCCAAACGATCCACATGGTGGTTACACATTTTTTAGTTATTATTAAGTTAATTCATTTCGATCCCTTTATTTTATATTAACTTTGGTGAGGTGCCATGAAATCCGAACACACTGTTGAAATAGACTAAATATTTGCACTATTTTTTGAGTACCAGAAGCACGATTGCTTTTCTGACAGCGAACTGAAAATTATGACGGGCTCCTTCGAGGTGAATAACCCTCTTTCTACCAAGCATCTTATCATTTCCTGTGTGGAGTTTTGACATCTTAACTACCTCAAACCAAAAAATGTCTTTTATTTGCTATCATTTTGCTTTTATTTTGAACTAGCGTGTGGTTAGTATCCGAATAAGTGAGATGAAATGAGAGACAGCCGACCACCAAATTCATGCAAATTTAACTAGTTGATCTGATGGTTTTCATTCTTAGACTATTTCATTACGCCATTGTAGGTGACTGTCACCGATTCGTTCGACTAGGATTCCGAAAGTATAGCCTTATGACCAGTGGACATATGTGAAGTGTCAACTAGATAACAATACGTTTCACCGATGACAATGAAATGTTACTTCATATAAGCTGGAAATCAACAAACCTTTCATAAGTGTTCCATCTTAACTTAGGAGCCTTCAACATACAACAAAATACCACAATTCCTACGTGTTAGAAACATGAAAGCTTATACAAGCCTGTGAAGTTTGACTTCCACTGTCAATTCACTAAAAAACGAAAACATTCAATTTCAACAGTAATACTCTTCCTAATTATTCTGTGTATAACGTTAGACCAAACCAACACTGAGTAATGATATAACAGTAAACTCCTATTTTGATTCTCGCTTATTCATATATGTAAAAGCCTTTTTCGACTGAAAAAGTAGTTTTGTCCAGATCCCCTCTTAGAATCAAAATAACTTTTCTCCACATAATCAATTCAACATCAACAACTTTTCTTAATTATTGCCTAATAATGTACATGCATGATATGAAATCAATTTTGCAGCCATGCATCAGTGTGATGCAAGTAAACAATTAAGTGTAAGTTAGTGCATTAAGTCATAAGGGAGAGGAGTTATATCCGGTCATAACACTCATGAAGTGACGTTAAAGTAGAACTCGTTACCCACCGATTGAAGGTCTGGTGTTTTCACTAATAGCGTATGTTCTTTTTCCTGTCAGTCAATATATCCCATAGCCTAAGAATCATCTTACTGTTAAATTACAAGGTAACTTCTCCGTTATATTTTTCTGTTTAGGTTCTTCAGTTTATCGATGAACCTAATAATACTTATTCAAATATTTACTTACCTGCTCAATCAGGAAGTAATAATGGGATGAGACGAGAATATGCCACCCAAATACATAAGCAATCGGTGGATACTATTCATAGATTGGTTCCAAGTAAGCTGTTTTTACACCCACGTACTTCTTTTATCCAACTTGGGTGATTCAGAGAACAGCCTCTTCAACTAGAATGTGGATATGACATATACCGGACAAAACTTGCGAGAAACAAAGGTTAGAAGAAATGAACCTTGAAGGGCGTGTATTCGACTACCAAAAAAATCTAATGGAACTAGAAAAGCTTGGAAAACTGTCAATCACAGGTCTACACAATATAAAATCAATGCATAAAGTTGGTTTTGATAATATTGAAATCAATCGGAAAAATTTCAGAAATCATAGTGAACTTTGATAAAGCTATTAGCATTAAATAGTGAAGAGTCAGTAAAAACAAAATCGTTTTGTTTTTCATTCATTGGGAAATACAAACATATTTTACGATAGTGAATATCACATATCCAGGGCCAAAGGTTCTTTTCAAACGACGTAATCTGAACTTGGTTTGGACACATATCATTTCAGTTTAGTTGTACATTGGCCTGTTACAAATTTCAGCGCGTGACTAGTGGCTTCAAATCTGTCGTACACTATTTTGGCATACAACTATCAAATGGGTCTACTAACTCTTTTTTTTAATTCTGAAAATCATTTGCGATAAAAAGTTTTGAATTCGATGAGATAATGTCTCTCGAGTGATTTTACCGCAAGATTTTGTTGCAAATCAGAGAATCAATTTCAAACTCTTGAGCTTGTCGAGTGTATTGGTCATTCTTTCTGTTGCCGTGAGACACACTTCCTAGTTTAATAATGTGTATCGTCTATAGTTAACACCCAGCATTCCTTCACCATTAGGTATTTATTGATCAAAAGATATATGATAGATAGTTAATTGTTAATTCGAAAGCAAGGAAATCATCGTGCGGTTTTCCAACCCTTTGAGTTTAATAATAATAATAATAGGTTCGGTAAATAATGGTTCTATGCACGCGGTTGTTGAATCGTTATTATTTAATTTAATCATAATTTCAAGTTAGATTTCGTCACGAACCGATATCATTTTGGAGAAGCGCTAAAAATCTTGAAGCACTGGTCGGCTGTTTCGTCCTTGTTTATGACTTTTTAACAATGCACAGCCACAACTCCACCACACAGGTTCGACTTAGGGTATTCATGTTAACAAGAAGACCTCGCTGACCGTTGAGGTTTAGTAATGATGGCGATTCTTGACGAAATCTGCCTTGAAATCCATCAAATCTATCCAAGTCGACACTTAAAACCTAATTACAATTACTTGTTAGTTAGAAATTTCATCGTGACATGTAAGAATTATTTTTTTTGGCTGTGTATATAGGTGGGATACTATGTAACTGTCAGTGTCAACATTAAATAACAGTTTTCGTTTAACGTGCAACTGTATTTCCCAGCTGACATACCAGGTAAATGTGCACTTCAACGACAAAGAAATCCTCAAACATTTTGCCGTGGACTGCTCCAAGGAATATTTCAGCATACAGTTTTGTAGTTTTTTCATACAACGTATGTTAATTATTCTGGAGTATTAGTACGGAACGAATTCTCCGAAACAAATAGAGAACATTCCTGCTAAATCTTCATAAAGTCTGTGATAGAACCGATTTTTCAGGGAAATTTCATATCTGAAGTTAATTTCCTTAACCTTTTCATGCATCACAAACACAATTTCTAAGGTGTCTGGATTTGTAACTTATAATGATATCTGTAGTCAGAAATCAGGAAAAGTATAACTTGCCTTTGCATTCGAATGAACAGTTTCGAAATGTCAAACATTTACTATATCGTCTAACCCACTATGACATCTTGTTTGTCAATTCACACATCTCTTGTTCCGTTTCGTTTTTTTCAGTAGCATTATTAAATATTGGTTTTATATCTATGGGAATTATTAACCTCACTTAACTCGTTGCAGTGATTTTATTCACTGAAAACGTATTCACAGTACCACTTAATAGACAATGGGCTAGATGAAGTTTAACGTAGAGAACATAATGTGTTGAAAGCCCTCTGTCCGAATAAATGTTTAGAATTTAATCAGAAACAAATACTGTCTGTTCATTTAGTTTTGGTGAAATGATGGAGGTAGAAATAGTAAGAATAACGGGGATGATAACTCAGTGTTACGTTAAGGAATGGAATAAGCAAAAAAAATACACAAAATTTTCTTGTATGCAGGTTACTTCAACTAGAATATCATGGAAAGGCAATCAGTTTGATTGAAAACTATCATACGGGAGGAACTGTGCACTCTCTGATAACTAAAAGATCAAATATGAGAATACATATGGTTTTCTCCCTTAGATTCTCAAGACATTCAACAGGCAATAAACCCAAGGTAGATAAGAAAGAATATTACTGTGCTGAAAACTCAACAGCTGTGATCCTCTTTTACAATTTTACTTGAGGTGTTAATTGTTTGTAGCTAGCTCTGACATCAAACAGGAGAGAAGTGGTATTGCTTGACCAACGTCAACATCAAATTAAAGATACGCACAAGCAAACCACTTTTCTATAAATTAAGAAAGACTTCTGATTGTTCTATGACACTTACATGGACTCTGATAGATAGTTGGTTAAATTAACCACTAAATCACGGCAACTAATTTCTTTTAAAGATATCACCATGAGAATGGATTTACTGGTTGTGCACCGAAAAGCTACACAATCACTAACAGTTGCATAGGTTAGCAAAACTCAAATAAATAAGGACAATCTTAGAGCCCTAGTCTTAGAAGTTACGAAGCTAGTGTATCACTCTAAATTTCTTCCGCCACGCTGTCTGCTCACGTTTTACAAAAAGCTTTAAAGAATTATTACCTATGAGGATTTTTAGATTTGTTAAAATACTATTGCAATTCAAGTGCGTAAGTAATGTGAAGCAAAAACAGCTTTGGCCATAAGCTTGTCTATCATTTAAAAAAAACTGTTGTCTGGATTGCCTTATTTACAAGCTTTTTTGAAGTGTAACCACTTCAATTGATGCACGGAACTACTTTCACAGTTCGATCAAATTAATGAATATAATTACCACCTTTAAATCTGCTAATTGTCAAAGTTTATTTCTTCAGATTCACTTGTCAGTTATTTTTAATTTTAATTAACCACCAATTATAACCATGTGATTAGTGTTGCAGTTTCAGTTTCATTGTGGTACCGATAACTTCAATAATTCAAAAGGAATCAATTGCACCAAGAATTATGGTGTATCAAATTATTAAGAATGAGATAAAAGAAGGAAAAGCTGTCAGAGATGCGTAATCTTAGAATAAACACCACGTGGCATTTCTAACGGGTTCTCTAACCAATCTTCTACTTTGTTCATTTAAAATTTTCAATGCAACATAAAAGCAAATGAATTCCACTTGGTTCAACCGCAGTCGATGACTTTATGATGTAGTAGCGTGAATAAACCAAACAATAAGCGAAATTTGTTGATTGGCCCTAATTTATTTTATCTCTAAATGTGATCATTTGCATTTTACAGTGTTATAATGCCATTCATTTTATGACGTCTGTTTTACTTTTTTGCCATAACACTGCTTTATTAACAAAGAGCATACATATTTATATGCGAAAAAGCAACTAGTGTAAACTACTTTCAGTTTATTATTTACATTGGTTTTTGTTTATTGTTTAGTACATTCGGTAACCATGTCGTCGTCTAGCAGTTTTTTCGTAATTCGGATTACGAATTTCTCCAAATTCACACTTGGCCGCATCAGGTAATGAACACGGAGGAACCCAGTTGTCGTTTTTGAGGCTAGCGAAGCATTTGATGACATCGGAGTCTTTATTCGCTATTTTCTAAAAGAATACGTCAGTATAGTACGACATGCAATCTAGCGTCGCTTACCTTCATCAGAGTAATTGAATCGTAAGGAGCGTTGAAATTAATAAGGAAATAGTGGCCTTCGTATTGCCGTTCACCTTGGACATGGAAAACATTCGGCAGTCGCCGCAGACCGAGATTTTCGACATTGAATAAGTGAGCACCATTCTCAAGCATTCCTTTAAGTTGTCTCTTCAGAGCTGCTTTTATGCCAGGCGTACCAAGAGCTTTAATAATCAGGGACATTTCATATCGTATCATAGTTGAAACCTGAAAAATTATAAATTTCCATCTGAATTAATTAGGTAAATAGCTGTATATGAGACCTCAATATAAACCACTTCGATGTTAGCGATTATAACAGATCGAATTAGAAGGACGAATGACTTCATATTTTTTTATGCTTGCCCCGGTGAGAATGAGCATTGACCTTTTGTGTGTGGTTACCAATACTACTAACCTTTTTGGCTGAAGTTAGAACACAACTCCACTACCATGAATGCCATAAATTTTGTACGTAGGTTCTAATAGTCATTATGAACTCAGGACTTTAAAAAGTGCTCAACCTAGGTTTCACAAATTTTTGGTGTTAAGTCCCAGCTCTCTGTATCCCAGTTTTGCTTCGCACTTACTCCGAAACTGCGAAAATCCTTTTATATAATCCTCACTACTTTATGTTCTAGGAGGCTTGAAATAACCTCACATTTTATTCCCAAAATTTACGTCCATTGCCTTCCTGAATTAGACTCTTGATTGGTAACTCATCTAACACTTATTGTTCTTTGTACTATATATTGTTTCAGTACAAAGTTGACATAACACGGACACCAAGATATGTGCCACATGAACGGAATCTAAAAAATGTACTTGACGAGCCACATTTCGGGATCGCTGTACTGTTTTAAGCCTGTGTTTCTAACGGTAATCAACAAATAAGCATTCTTTTCAAGTACACGCAATAGAGTGCCTGTCACTATGCACTTGATTCGACATGAAGAGACATAGGGCGGTACGATCAGGCAAGTTTATCGTCGAATTTCTGAACACCTCGTATCTTGGTTTGGCAAAGGTCCGAATAAAGCTATACGCAGCTCAATACTAGCTCATCTCGTCGATACTGACTGGACATCAAGTCGACTCTAACAAAGCTTTCAAAGTTATTTATCGTAAATCACCCAACCTCCCGTATGGTCTACGAGTACGAATTTTACATACAGCAGAGACAACCAGAATTCATCTGAACAAGCCAAATCTGTGTGTTCAAAAGAAATTTGTACAGCCCCTTTCTTCGCCATAGCCAACTACATAATATTTATTAGTTCTTAAAAACGATTTTCCCTTCCCCTTGTAATTAACTAACTTTCTTTTGACTTTGTTAATTTTTACAAGTCTAGCTAATTCTATTAACTTTTTTATATTTTACGTAATTCTTCTAAGTCATCCTGCTCTTTTTAGTCATCATTGCTATTTTACAAATTTCTTGATTATGTAATAACTTTTTGCCAACGCCTAAGAATCAACTTATCTTGAATTCCGTAATTAATTTGCACCCCTCTTTTAAAACTGAGATATCTTGTTACTAATATCTATTAGTTGATTGTTCTGATGACATTTAACCTCTTAACTTCACCCCTGCCTACACCTAAAACTGATTAACTAAAATAACCACTTGATTGGTAAAAATTTTAATGTAAGAAACGATATATTAGAGTAGAACCGATGATGAGGAACTAACTGAAAAGGAACATATTTCTTTGTTCAATCTGCGGCTTTTTCTAAATGCGGTTTCAATACCCAGTCATCACTGACACCCTCTGTTGTTACTCAGTCACATATTGTCCTAAACCTTACCTATGGAATCATTGACAAACCAATCTACGATTTTTTCTATGTACAGTAGACACAGTTGCATTACGCAGTGGCTACAACATAATCTTATAATTCAAAATTAAGTATATTAAAAAGTGAATCATATTTATTGTTTGCAATCGCCTATATGAGTAGTTGCTTCCACCATTGTAAGATATTATGAGACTCGGGGAGCTTGTATTTACTTTTGTAGACCGAGTTGCATATCAGTTACTGATGAATGACTAAGAAGTGCCCCGGTAAATAGATTACATACACCTTATTAACCAAATATGGTCTGGCATTTTATTAATGTGAGACTTTACTCTTCTATAAGAGAAAACATGTGAACATAAATAGTTAGCAGCTAGCATCACCAAACCTGAATTGTTATAAGTGGACTTCAGTTAACACCCTTATAAACTTATGGAAAAAAATAGTTCAGCGAAATGAATGACTGACACTATAACCTGTGAGTGATCTTTAATTATTGGACTCATTTTTAATCTCTGACTTCTTTTTGCTTTTTGACTCTATCTCAGTTACACAGTAACTGATTATTATTCAGGTTAATGAAATGTAGTAGTCTTTTTCATCAAATAATGGCCATATCAGAAGTTCAGATATATCTCCATTTATTGAGCTTAGGTAGGAAAAGTTCTAAAAAAGTAGTTCCCTCCAGAAAAACACTGAGCCGTGTCAACTGCAGAATACTTACGAAGATTCCATAACACATACTAACTGTCTGATAAATCATCTTAGAAATTTGCCTGAAAGTGCATCATTTTAAGTTATCATATTTCGAAACATCACAAATTAGAAAATAAAAAAATACTTTGACATTATAATGGACTAGCACTTGAAACGACAGAGGCTTAATCAAAATAAGTGATAATATTTAGAATCTGGCTTATGATAGGTGAATACATCGGCGCTACTGTCATGTCACCAAGCCACCACTCCTCGATTCTTAGCATCCGAAACAGTCCACAGGGGTGACTTACATATAACTATCTACCTCAGACTAATAGACAACGACTTAACAGATGTACACCATAACTTACTGACAGCAATTTATTGCCACCGAAAAGTTACGCAATAAACACTACAGTACCACTATATCAAATAGACTTTTCCAATATGAGACTGTACTTTAACATACCATGGAAGGTTCTTGTGACTGTATTGCTACTTTTTTTTTCCAACACGATGGTCAACGTGGGACAAGCTATCTATTCGAAAGACCATAGTGATTACCGAATGGCTTCCAATATGCTGATGTATGCACATTAATACATGTGTATGCATAACAGAATAAAAATAACCACCCTATAATTTTGGAGTCTGCATGATAACTGATTACGAAAGTCAGAACCAAGAATACCAGACAGCCACCACATCCTAGAATATGTATATAATTTCATTAAGAATAATTGTAACAATTCACAGAAATGTATGGGATAATCTGCTTAAAACTAGTAAGTAACCATTCCGAACTAATAAATCAATTGGTCTATGGTAGAACACTAACTGAACTTTAGGGCCTTACAGATGGCAAATTAATACTACATCTATTCAATATATTACTGAAAGTACTGAAGTTTATCTGCCAAGGTGTCGTGCTTATCTTGGATTTGTGATAATCTACATATTAGTGACTGAATTCACTGTAGAAGTGGATATGTGAAACACATTCCAAGTGCCCTTTCTTCCTATACAAATGGCCTAAAGATAAGCGAATTTGCCTGATGTAATAACATGCGTACTAGGCTATCAGTTATCTTTCATCTCAGAGGGGAGTTTGCACTTGGGTTCCATTGCTGCAAAATTAGTATTTTAAGCCAATGACTCACACTTTTTTCAAAAATCTGAAAAGTCTTATTTCTGTATCCTTAACACCAATAATTACATCAAGTCTTCAACTCCTCATGCAAGCCTTCTTTAAGTTTTAAATTGCCAGAGTAGCTGCAGTTACTACTCACTGATCTACCTCCGGTTTATATGTATCGGTGCCACAGCGGGAGGATGCCCACCAACCGTGCATGGGCCAAGTTAAACTTTAAGCACCAGTAAGTACCAGTGAAGTGCGACCACGACAATGACCTTGAAACGCTCACTGAGTAAGTTAGTGGAAAATGACAAATGACATTGTGATCATGAATATAATATGCTCAATGAAGTGTTTTGGGTGACTCGAAACTATACCAGCCCTAAACGCAACCACCTAGTAAAGACCTCTGGCGACCAATCAGATGATATTAAATGGGCACTAGTTACTAGTGTATACAATAAAGTATACAATACAGTCCTACAGGTCAGTCGCGAACCCGAATAGCTCAGTGGTAATGTCTCTGACTGTAGCACTGGTTGACACGGGTTCGAATCTCAGGAGGGACATCAGTTCCTTAAACGTCGCAGATACGCCCTGTTGACAAGTGCCAACTGGTACGAAACCTAGGTCCAAGGCCTCCTGCCGATTGCCTCTAACCATCTAATATCGTCAAATCAATGTACATTATGATGGCGCGCTACCTAGACTGGTGGCCGCATTGTAAACCTGACTGCTAGAATTCAGTCTGCACCAAAGAAAGGACTAGATACATCACACTAGTTACCAGTCATATGCGTCAGAAGTAGAAGTGCATAATTTGAAATAAACGTCTTTTCACAAGTAATGCAATGTTAAGAAATCGTTGCATAGAGAAAAATTCCAAGAAAACCTCCCAATTTCCCACAAGACTTCTCATAGTCAAGTTAAACCGATTTCTTTCTTTATTTTATTTTGATTACAGCTTGATTCCACACCGTATTTTCAGTATAAGTATGGAATTTTCAGCATGGATATCGGTAGCCCAAATTTACAGGCCGACCATAGATATCGGGTGTGCGCCGGCAGGGGATCGAACCCCGGACCATGTGCATGGTCGGCGAGAGTACTAAGCACTGTGGCACCGACGCACATAAATTCGTCAAGGTCACCAATCTGTTCATTAGGTAGTTTCGTTTTGGGCTGCTTTAGTTTACAGTCAACGGGATATTTTAGGCTCCATGTCTCCTAATCCATTCTTTTGGCGAAGTTAAAGTATTATAATTAAAGCCAATGTCTTTCAAAAGTTAACCTTTAAGAACCAGTCAGATATAGGGAATGCTATGAAATGTCATTGCAATTTAAACCAAGCCTGTCTTTTTGGATTTGGAGGAGGGAGATACAATATTCCATTTACTCCCTAGGTACTTCTGTAAACCTATACTGTTAGGCAGGGTTATGGATTTTTAGATTACGGTTTATTAACGCAAATGGTATAGGGTTAAAGTTAAGCCTAGGAGTTAGGATAATGGTTAGAGATAGGAGTAGGGCTTAAAAACATGTCAGAAATATCAATACATCTCAAATTACCATGAACTACGTAGGTCCGCCTTTCCTCAAGAATGTCACCTTTTTGTTTGCAATATTGTCCGATCGGGACAATCACCTGGAAGAATGCATCTATTATGCATAGTATTATTTCCCTATAGATCATCTGTGCATTGACAGACAGACATTTTTACAACACATAAGCGACAACTATAGAGTATAATACTAAGTTCGCAACATGTTTCAGTGAAATTTATAACTTTCACACTTGAAGTCTCATTGGTTGTTGAAGTTTACTATGGTTTCGGCTATGACAGTTTAACAAATATAAGTATTTTAAATGCGAAAATCGCCTTTATCATGTAGTTGTTGCGTTTCCATTGATACTTACTGGTGTTTAAATTCTAAATGTGCCGTGGTAAGGTTGGGCTTGGCACTAACAACCCCACACACTGAAAGTAAACACCACTGCTACTGATACTCCAAGGCCCTAACCTATAGCCCCATGTCCCACTAGGGATGTAAAAGAATAAAATGATATGAACACACAAACCCTCGATATATATATGCTCACCTTGACCTTGACACCTGACACATTGAAATTCCCCCCAAGCTTTCAGTATTCAATGCTGTGAAGATCACAGTCGAAACCTTCACTTTTCAGCATCATCGGTTGATATAATTCAGTTTACTTATGAACCATATCTATATTCCTGATTTTGTGTTGATCAAGTGGGACATTTTTTTGGCCTTTATATTAGAAAAGTTTAAACGGATTAGTTTTTAAAATCGGACTGACAAATAAGGATAACGGAAATTCCATAGTTGGTGTGTTTGATATAATTCCAAGGCAGCCACATGGGTCAAGTATTTATATTCACTTAAAATACGTATGATGGATAATGCCATTTAAATTTGGACTAAAAGTGGGCAGAATAATTGGATGACGTAACATAAATTACTAGAAATTGAGCGCTGGTCAAGTGAGTAACAGTGGTAATGAAGTGTAGAAATTAAATCGGGTCGGAGTAGAAAACAGGAAGTTGAAAATGGAAGATATTACAGTAGTTAAGACGAAATAATACTAGTGAAGAGACAGAAAGAAATCTGTCTAATTAACCTCATGTACTCCTACACACACAAAATAATTATAAATAAATGCGACTGTACAGCTATGTGATTGAATTCGCCGAAAGGAGTCTGTTCGCTGAATGTCTTCTATTTTTCATATGACTCAGTGGGGATTTTTATGTGATCTAACATAACGGGTCTCAGTGATGAGATTTTATGAGCTGTTCAGTTGATTCGTAACTGCCATAACACTGCTGGGTGCAATACATGGAGGAGTTTGCGTCTGTTTCAAGATCTTTGATTTATTCGAAGGGATTTTCAATGTTTGCACTCATTTTATAGTCACACAATTCCCAAAATCACGCTCTGAATTGTTAGAAAGTCAGAATAATGGAAGCGAATAAGAGTAAGTAGGAAAATAACCAAACGTAAGATACAAATGAAAGATTATGTACAAAATGGTTGGAAAAAGTGAAAGTATGTGAAAATATAGAAACAGCGCCAAGTGGACAGAGTATGAAGGGCGAAGTCATAAAGCCAGTAAAGTCTCTCAGGGGATAACTTTGGTCCCATATATGTGATCTCCAGTTTTCGCATGGTTTCCCGCCGAAGAAGGCACATACTGACACAGCGGGGTTCACTTCAGGCAGCAGAGTATTCCATAAGTAATGCACCCTCAGAAAAATAAACTGGGTCTCACTTGTGTTAATGCTCCGTAACATAAGACTTCACTTGTTTTTCATACAGTAGTAGTGACTACTTAGTAGCAGGAATGTAATAATATATTTTGAGCTGCTCATTATTTTACTGGTTGTCTCAGATCACGTCTGGTTCTGTTCTAACTTGAAACCAGCAATAATACATGGATTCTTGTGTGTGGGCACATACCAACTGCACAAGCATGAACATGTTAATGTTTGCAGTACATAAATTCAGTTTATGTAGGATTCATACTGCTGCTAGTTTTTGAAAATTAGAATCGACTCGAACTGCTTGATAAATAATTGGTGAACGTAGTGAATTGGAAACTATGGTATTTATTCGCATTAACAGAAACTCTAGTCTGTGAAAGATAGATTGCAGACACCAGGAAAAAAGACTTGCAGTAGATTCTTCTGCATAAATTTGCTTTGCAAGAACTAACATGTTATTCTTGTTAGGTTTTCTGAGGTATGTCACCAGTTCCAACGAATAGAAGCAAGCATTGGCGAATTCATCACTCGAAGGACTGCCCAGGCATATTCATTTATCACACTCATGAAGTGTAATCTCGGTGGACCTAGAAGCAGAGAATATAAGTGTTTTACAACCTTATGGGTTTCAGCTGACATGGTAAGATTAAGGAAGCCCCGCTGACCGATTTCAAATGAACGAATTCCTGACAGAGAAATTAGTTTGCGGATTTCGACTACTGGGTGCTCAAACAATGAAGCAGCTGTCAACACTCTGGTATAGCGATTTCAACAGGAAAGGTTAGCAGTGAACTGAGTTGACGAACGGCATTATTGCCTTTCTTTGTATAATAGTGGGTGAACAACCTTGACCATTTCCATATTGATAAGCCAGGTATTTTCGGCAGTTTCATGTTGGGTGATTCAAGGTAACGACTCTTTAACTGACACCATGGCCCCCAAGTGAATTCGATGGAAAAGTCTAACCGTAGCCTTGGAAAGGTGAGTGAGACGAATAGACATTCTTAGGGAACTTATCCGTAGGGACAAGTTGATGTAGGGCCTCTAAAACACATTATTCCATGACGGCTCAGATGTAGATAGTTGGTAGGGAATTCAGGACGATCAACCAACTGAGAACTATATCTTCTCCATGGTTTCGGAGGCTTTATGTTTATAAAGTGATGAATGTCTCCCTGTCCATTTGCCTAGGTCTTCTCTGCTTCACTTCCCCCCTGCCACGTTGTCGAAAGCAAGGGTTTCAAAATACCACTAGTTTTCTACAGTAAACATGCTGCCGGTCGGTAATTTGGGCGATTATTTCGGCAGAAAAGCAGTTTCGTAATTAAATAAATAAATATATAATAGTATATTCTCATTTCGTACATGAGGGACGCCAGTTTACAGGCATCATCAATATGATAAATTACATATACGATTAGTAAACATATTTAATAATAGTAATTTCATTAAATACATTTTTTCCTACCTGTGTAGGACACACCAATTGTACAGGCATGGATAAGTATCATTTAAATTACATAAATTTGGTTCATGGTAAAATTATAAGGTTGCAGTCATTTTGTCTATGGGAACAATATGATAACCAGTCATTCAATGTAGCACATCAAGAAATATAGAAGTATTGTCTTCGCATTAACAAAAAAAACCTAAGTGTGTTTTGGATGGATTACAAATACTTGGGAAAAAAATAAAGCTTGAAGTAATTCCTCCATATAAATAAATAAATAAATAAATTTATTCTCATAGTACAGTACATGAGGGACGCCAGTTTACAGGCATCATCAAATTGTTACAGAAATAGAACCATATAATTCAATCACAATTTACAGGCAGTAGCAAGATATGCTTTACATGTTCGCTGGAGATTATACATACACTTGATAAATGTTAATCCCAGTAGTATAAAACAGCCTTTTCACTTATATACAATCATTTCTGTGCAAAGTTGGCAAAATCTGCTAGATTGTCAGTGAGTGCAACACAACAGGAAATACAGGAGTATTGTCTTCGCATTAACAAAAATCCAGGTCTTTGGTGGATGGATTATAAGTGCCTGGGAAAAAAATAAAGCTTGAAGTAAATATTCATACATAACTTTGTTGTGTGCAGAGTCCTCGAATTATAGTTCATGGATGTGTTATTTTGGAATCAGTGATGTGTTTGTCTCATTTGATCTGCAATGTCATTGTTGGGAGTAAGTACATAAGCTTCGGACGCATTAATTAATGGATTTCTACTGCTTGTGGGTATTTTCTTAGCGTGAGGAAGGTTTATGAAATTCAGCTGTTCCGACAGGAGTTGAGAATATTAACTGCTCAGCAACATTATGGATATAAGTTCATCACATTATCTAAGGGAAGGTGGGTTGCAGTTGGTGAGGGATATATGGTGCCCAACTTGAGAAACTCAAGTGTGCATACTATCCTTAACAAGTATTACTATTATTTCCTTTAATTCCTAGAGGAACATATGGCTTCAGTCGCGCGTCTCCATTGCGTTCGGTTCTTTTCCAAGTCTGCCCACACGCTTTCATCTCCTCTTCACATGACCTCCTCCAAGTCACCCTTGCACTGACGACCAACTCGCCACTTCCCTTTCGGGTTCCACTCGAGCAATGGCTTGTCTAGTGTCGTCACTTGATGGTTTCCTCAGAGTATAGCCAATCCATCTCCATTTCTTCCTGCCTATTTGTTTCACAATCGGTTCCTGGTTGGTTCGCTCCCAAAGATCCCTGTTGCTGATCTTTTCTGGCCAGCCATCTGATCTTGAGTACTGGGCGAAGACAACTGTTAATGAAGGTCTGTAGTTTGTTTGAGATGCTCTTTATGACGCGCTGGCCAAGTCTCTGATCCGTATAGTAGCACTGACTGACTCAACATTGGAGTTGAAAATCAGCATCTTATTTTTCATGCTGAGTGTTATTGACCTCCACACAGACTTGAGAGTAGTGATAGCTTGTCTTGCTTTTCCGATTCTTGCTTTGATATCCTCGTCAGTTCCGCCTGTAGTGGAAACGATGCTTCCCGGGTAGGTAAAAGAGGTTGTTTCTTTCAGGCTCCTCCCATTTATGCTGATTGTTGTCAGTTGTTGTTGTTGCTGGTGGTGGTGTTGCCCAGGAATCTTCATCACCTCTGTTTTCTCTGTGTTCACCTGAAGGTCTATCTTCTCTGGAAGCTTCTTCTGCCAACTTGTTGCTTTTCACTTGCGTATCTTCTGCTGCAAAGTCTGCTCCTCTTCTTACTTTTGTGTCTAGTAGGCTGCGCCTCCACTTCCTTCAGATTGAGATCAAGTCAATTTGGATTTGGTTCGCCCATCTGGTGATATCCATGTCGCCTTGTGGATATCTTTGTGTTTGTATACGCTGCCATCAATAACTAGTTCATTGAAGGCGCAGAAGTCGGCGAAGAGTTCTCCATTTTCATTCATTCCTCCAAGAGCTTCTCCACCCATGATGAGTTCTCTTCTTCTGTTGTCTGGTCCCATTTTGACGATCATGTCTCCCATTAATGTTTTGATGTCACCAGTGGGAGTATTGTCCATTGTTGCATGTAGTTGTCTGTAGAATTCTTCTTTCTTTCCCAGGTCTGTTTTGTTTGTGGGTGCACAGCATTGTATATCTGACACTTTCCTTCCTTTGGAGTTGAATCTGGCGGTCATTATCCTGGGCGAGATCGCCTTCCATTGCATCAGGGCCTTCGTTGCCGTTGGTGACATCATGATATCCACAATTTCGGTGCTCATGTGGTTGTCTTCTGGGTGACCGGAGTAGATCACTGACTCTTCCATTGACATTTTGGTGAGTCCATCTGCTTTCACATATTCCCAGTACTTGAATTACGTAGCTTTCCATCTCGTTTGCGATCTGGGCAGCTTTGCCAATCTCGTACATAGTGAGGACGTTTCATGTTCCCACACAGAATTTTCTTTTGGCGTTTAAGAAGCATAATTTATGCAAACATCTCTCTTCTGCTCGAAGACACGAAAATCTTCAGCAGTCTTCAAGTTAATAAGTGGTTCGCCATGATGACTTCCAGCAACACACACTCTTTGATAAGCCCATTTTTAGGTTTTAAACCCGTGTTGACTATTAAATTTCGCTTGCACTCGAATACTCCGATTTACCTATGATGGCTACACGTCTCATCTAAAATAAATGCTATCAAGATTACTTGGATTTAAATGTCTGTCATAGTAGTCTCTTCAAAATCTTTTGCATAGAGGGTTTTTCAGTTATTCCAATATTCTCTGTACACATTTTCAGCCGATGAGGGCTTTTTCTTATCACTGGTTACTGCCGTTGGGACGATTTCGCTTGTGCATCGCTTGACGAAACCATTCACACCCCCTATGTCAAATGGCCGGGTTATTAACCGCTTGCAACGCCATCTAGCATTATTTCTGTTGCCGGAAGAAAACCCCCTCGAAATAAGAGTGACATTTAGCCACGTTATAACCAACTGGACTTCAGTATAAATGATGATAGAATACGGATGGGAAGAATCATTACTAGATGAAAAACAACCAGTATGAAGAAGCTGATTGTACAGCATTGTGGTGATAGATATCTCTTTTGCTTATTATAAATGCAATAGAAAACATTTGCGTTTAGACGTCAATACAAGATATATATACTTCTGGTCGTGTTTCGCTGCTATTCTGCCAGCGAGTTAAAGATAAAGCCACGGTTAGGGTTGTCGTCTCCTATGAAAATGAAAGTAGGTCGAGTAGACAAAGTTATTGGACATTCATTCAGTGTTCATCAACAATGAAACACCCATAACCCAATTTTACGGCAGGAAACAGATTATGGAATTTCCGCCCACTTATATTTGCTTACAAAATGAAGTCGATGGTGAAAGTTTCGCTGATCTTTTTTCGTTCTACGAAGTTGTCTTCAGAGATTACGATATGTACAATTCAAAAAGTTACGACAAGTTTGTAGTTGAATGAAGCAATTCTATTTGTCGTGAACGATCAAAGATGTGATATCAAGTGAGAGGCCGTCCAGTATAATCAGTATGTTCGCGTAATAATGTAAACCTGAAATTGTAGGTGAAAATCTAACTCAGGAGTCAATAGCTTAAGATGTGAATAATGTTTCAAGCATAATGATGAAATGTGAAACCCCTGAGTTTTCATGACTAGTGAAATAGACTCATGCCGAATGTTGCAGCATCACATCTGACTTTAAAGAATTCTGATGATCTTGAAACCACAACTTAGCATATTATGATAATTTGCTGTAAATAAAAATCTCATTTAAAATTAATAAGATACTATGTGGTTAAATTCACTCTTATTTTCAGGAAACTAACGTATAATGCAGAAGATACTAGACCTCTGTGAAGTTTTATTTACAGTGTTTCAACGCTTCACTCCAGTGGTGTCAATCTAGAAAAGAAAATAGCTGTATTGACTCTGATCCAGGGCAACACCTATATAGGAAGCACAAGGCTATAAAGCAGAGAAAAAAGAACATGGGCAAATTATTTTTATCAGAGGAATTCCTGATGCCGTTTATACTAATTACGTGATCTACCTCACACTGTCAATTCCAGTGATGATCATGAAGTTGTGTCATTTAATGAAAAATGAAATATAGGAGCTGTTGTGAACCACAGTTCCATCATAGAATTAGTTTACTTCATAAAATCAGCATTGCCATATAAGGAAGGAATAACTGAAACACTACTTAAGGTTCTTAATTAAACAACAACAGTATGGAATTTCCACCTACAAAACCACTCATCGAAGCACATAAACGATGTTTTCAATTTATGTAATTCCTTTGATATGATAAGAAATAGACCTCTCCGGAGTAGTCATCAATAAATGGTACTCTATCACTGTTTCTTACTGAGTAAATATATTCCGCGATGGAAATTTTCAGTGTTTTGTGCTATTCAAGACGTGCGGTAGTGAACATATTTACGCTGCTTGCTTTTGTATTTAAACCTCATGTAATCAAGTCACAGAAAAGAGTTTAAAGTTATAGACACGCAAGCAAGCATGTGATAAATACAGAAACATTATTTGTGTATACTCCCTGAAATGCATGCATGATGGCCTATCCGAAACAGTGAGCTAATTTTATGTACTAGCATTGAGAGAAAATTCTTTCCTAAACGCTTTACATTTCGAGTAGTTTCTCTGTAATTTTATCAAGGTGGTTGGCTTCTGTCTGTTATGAAGTCATGTGAACGTCGATGACTTCGTTCTGCCCAACGCCACTCCACAAGCGAAAGCGATCCTCCCACGTACCCACTTAAAGTTTTTGAGGATGGGGCTGTTACTATTCTTTTCTCCTCTGACTAACCAAGCTCCGCTATTTTCCAGAATACGTCTGTGAACTTGACGTTAAGTACAGCCGACATACTGCACCCCACACTAGCAAGTAAATACACACTGAGGTGGCCAAAAGCAGTATCTTATCCTTAACGTTGATCTGGATTAACTGCCTGCTGGAGAATATGATACGTCAGGCGGCTGCTTGAAATATCGCCTTCAGATATTAAGAAAGGCAGTTTTTAAGAATTTCAGCTTCGATGTAACCATTGATTTTCAGGTTCTTGAAGAGAGTTTTCTTAGGAACAGTTGTAGTTTATGGCGACGGAGGCTATTTTTCCATGCTTTTGTCTATGAATCTTGATGGAAACACGTTCTGTAGTAGGGTTTCACGTAAAAATTTAATCCTTTCTCTGTCATGTCTTCCCAAATGATTTTTCTAATCCTTAATGTACGTACTGGGTTCTACTTTCAGATCAGTGGGACGAAGCTGTGGAAGTTGTTGAACTGTCCATCCCTCTTGGCTTGCGATATATCGATCTTTGGATCGTACAGTTATGTCTTCTGGTGAGTTGTACATCAAGGAGTGGAAATGCCACATTCGATTCACGCTCTAAGATGCATTTTATTGATGGATGTGCTGCGTTGTAGCTTTCGAGGAGATGCTCTAAAACACAATTTTCATCACAAATTGATGGGGCTCTGGGGTCTCTGAAGTACAAATTTCCCTCACCATGGAAGAGCAACTGCTGCTCAAACACCGATGACGCTGCTGGCGCCATTGATAAGACACTGAGCAGACTTGATCAGTCACTGTCATACAGTCAAGGGCTTTCATCACAGATGAAAATTAACCAAAGCACGGACACCCATTGTGTCGCTACTGTATCCAAAATGCCACTCAGTACCCATGATGAAATGGCGACAGAAGACTTGAACACCAAATCGCCTGTTTTGGCAAGAGGTAAAGGTGTGTCTGGGGCCGGGAACCATCAGTTATAGTAAACTTTGATCTTGCAGATCCAGCCTAGTTTGCGGAAGTGGACAACAGGCACACACAACCAATGACAGATGGCTGAGTGGACGCCAGTGAATAATGTGATGTAGTTTTCTGCAAAAAGTCTCACAGCGTTATTCAGTAATATTTACTGATGATGTTTCGAGCACAATTACTTGCTCAAAATCGTGTCAAAATACTCACACAAATTTCTAACTTCCTTTACATAATTGCATTATTTTCCATCGCTTGATTTGATTGATGGTAGTATTTTCCATATTTCCGGTGTAAGTTATGAGTCATTTCTGTTGCACGTGTTGAGTGAAGATTCTATGAACAAAGATTCCGCAAGAAAGAGAGAAAAAATGATTACAGTCACACAAGCACGTCAATCACAATACTGAAAAGAATCATCAGGAAAACTACCATGCTATATCTAGAAAATAACAACAAGTTGCCTAGAGCACAGCGTGGCTTCCGAGGGAACCTCTCATCCTGGTCAGATCTTCTTACCCTAGGAGAATGCTGGGGCATGTCAAAAGACAACAGACGACCTGTCGACGTTGTCTTCAGCAAAGCCCTCGATGGAGTACCTCACGGAAAACTTCTCACAAAAATCGGAAAGTCTTGGACTCAAGAGTGGCGTACTGGAGTGGGTTAGGTAATTCCATATGGGTTAGAGATAGAGAGTCAGTATCAGTTCAAAACGCTCCCACTGGGCAAAAGTGCGTTGTGGAATGCCGCAAGGTACTGTACGCGCGGACCTCTTGTTTATTTCTATATCAACGTGTTATGTGTCCACCGATTCTCCGATAGTCTAGTATTCAGGCAACTTGAAAATTTGGAGGTAGCATAAGTGCTAAAATGACACGCTCACATTGCAAAAAGACCCCAACAAACTGTTGGACTGGCCCAAAGATTGAATGCTTCCGACCAACAGAATGAAATGCGCAACCATATGCATTAGACATACAATACATAAACATCAGCTCATACGTAGTAGAAGGGATAACTTCACCATCAGTTCACACTCATTTGTATGTAAGTGTTGTAGTAAGTCGGGACTTAAAACTAAAGTGTATTGTCCCGCGGTGGCTGCAAGTAGTTTCAGATCTTCATGGGCAGTTCATCGAAAGTCCACCAGAATCATCCGAGATACTCCCTTTTATATACGTTTCTAGTGAGGTCAAGACTGGAAAACTGTATCCAGGTAGCCAGTACTTGTCCTTAAGGGGAATTACATATTCTAGAAAGGGTTCGATAGAAGGCAATACGTACGATTCTTGACATCACTAATTTTCCCCATGAACAAAGACTAATTAGTTTAAATCTCCTATTAGTCATTCCGTAGTCAGATAGGAGATGCAACTACAGTGTCTAAAGTTTTATGTAATGCCTGCGGACCCATGGAATACTGGTTGTAAAACGGAGTCATCAACTAGGACCGACTCCAAGAATAAGTAGTGTCATCACTCTCAGTTGATTTATTCAAGAAGCTCCATGAAAAGCACATAAATTTAACAGAAAAGGATCAACTAAAGCTTCAAGCCTTCTATTCTCATTCATCAAATCGGGAAAATGAATTGGATATTTTACAGGCATCAAGAATTTCGAATCTTGCGTTACAGCACTAGATATTGACATTCATGGTATGGTGATTATCAGGTTATTTATTATTTGATGGTGAACGTATCTAAATTACTTTAGATAAAAATAATCGATTTCCTTGTTATTACTATATGTTTACCAAGAGGATCTTTGATCATTTCAACTTTACACAGATTTTATCATGTCGTTATATCTCTAAGGAAAAATATTCACTTGGTACAGCTGTTTGTATGTCATATTGTATAACTGAGGTTCAGTTCCATCCAAAGCTTACTATAATGCTGAATTAAATCTCACTAATTCTGAAATAATTCTGACATTTTATAGTGAGTAAATTCTGAATCTATTCCGAAATGGACTCTTCAATGACACAAAGTAGAACTCAGTGCTGGTTTTCAGCACGACTGGGACTAATTCAGAACCGTGTTGTTCTTCTTGACATTTTCAGGAGTAGATCAGAACCTACTGGGTTTGCTTATCAGCGTTGTTCGAACAACGCTGGATCCAGCCCTTATAGGAAATATTAAGCACGGATTAGCATTACTTCAGAATTAAAAGACTTGATTCAGCACTCAGCTCTCTTTATAAGCATGACCAGCGTTGAAATTTGCCGAATAAGTTTAGAACTGTTGTAAGCTTGGGGTCTGTACTTACGATGGCGGTATTAAAACTTACGTTTGTGTTCTCTTTCCTGCCGTAGGTTTTGGTAAATCTTCAGTACAGTTGATTTGGAAATATGATATAGATACGTGATGCTATTCAAAGATGATATTTTTTTGAAGGCCATTTGTCTCTACAATCTTCACGTGGCTTGTGCATCCGTAATTTTCTTAGAATGTCGGTAATTCCGTGTGTACTGACACATTAAGCGAATAGAATTTTAAAATGATTACCGAATGCCTAATATTTTTTCAACTGAGGTATTTAGTCTTGTGCAATTTGTATTCACTTGCATTTTGGTGGTTTGATCCACTGAACTGCATTCTGCAGTTGTCCGTATTTACATTGTTCATATGTATCATTAAAATGTAGTCTGCCAGAAACACTGAGGCGTATGTAATTCACACTTAATATGTGTGGTGAACTAGGACCCATCAACTTAGTTTATGAATTCGGTTATTTGAGAATATTGCATGTGATATTGTTAATAGTTCCCCTGTTTTTCGTTGTATTTTCGTAAGGGGATTTCTTAGCTTTAAAGAAAGACGTTGAAACGCTGAAACACCATTCTAAATACTTTGAAACCGCTTTGTCACACTTCGAGGTGTTATGGTCCTGGGGGTTGTTAATTCCAACAATTGGCATTAGCACGTACAAATATATTTAGCAACCCTGGGGCAGGTTAGTATCTACTTACACCTACATTTCTGTTTAGGTGGACATGTCAAAATTAATCCTATGAGTACCAGAAGATTTTTTTTGGCTAGTTCCCTTTGAACTTGGCATCGAAATAACATAAACTAAAAACGGAGTACTGATTGCAGCCCGAGAATGCCTGTCCATAGGTATCACTTGGTTGCAACCTAAATAAAGATGAGTCAGTTTTCTGCTGGTGACGCTATTCGGTGGGAATTAACCGCTCCTGCATGAGTTCAAATAATATTCTGGAGTTACTACAAATCAGTGACTGGTTGCTCTTGTTTGTATATACAGATGTATTCTTTCTCTATCATGTAGGTTTTCATGAGCTTCACGAGTTTTCATCTAATTTTTCTCGTCACACCTGCTCTTGCCTATTACAGTATCGTTACGTTCCTTTTATCATGTCATTTTGATTCATTGTGTAGCATCTTTCAGTGTCACACTTTCATGCGAATTCCAAGGGTGATGGGTCAGTTTGTCTGTCAGTTTATGATTTAGCGCGTATACGTGTGCGAAATTAGATCACTACCTGAGAACAGCGTTTACAAACTCTTTTAATGAAGCTACTTACTGCTGTTTATCGTACAATCAACAAATAGTCAGTTTCCAAGATAAAAGCAACCTATTTTCTCTTTCTTCATGTGTTTAATATTTATCTTCTATGGAACAATTTCCACTGAGTGTACGGTTAGGTAACTTTATTGTCAGGTCTCCAGAGATCATCCAGCATAATTAGGCGAAAGACATGAAAGTGATACGTAGCTCACCCTGTTGATACAGAACACTAGGTCGACATTAACAGAGCTTTTGAAATTATTTATCGCATCTAAATTTATTCTTTAGGAATTGGAATTTTATGCACATCAAAGAATCACAATTCACCTAAATGAACTAAATAACCAATTCACCACACCTGATGTGGGTTTTCCCCAAATACCAGTAGGAAGTATGGATTCTAAATACGTGATGAAAAGGCACCACGAAACATCTCCATCAACAAGCATCTGCTTCACATCCTACCTTTCGAGCTTCATCGTCCACAACTCCCACTAAAACTTCAGGACATCCATCTTGTAGCCACAAATAAGGTGACTGGTATTCAAATTTTTCGGCTTTGTTGGGATTTCGACGAATTCCGGTGTAGTTCTCGTCACGAAATGACATTGGCGCTCATTGCAGAGGACTCCCAAACTAAGACGAAGGAGCTGTTGAGTGCCAGTTTGAGATACTCTTATTGTGTGATGGCTGGTGATTCTATCTAGTTGTCCAATCTGATGGAGGTTTGGCAGAATTCGAGACCAGGTCCCACGAACTGAAAGTGGAGTGCTTAAGCCATTGAGTCAGGTCTCTTCAGTAGCTTAATAGTTACACAACGGTTGGACGCTGCGTCCAAAATGATTTTATGCCGCTAAGATCCGAATGAGTGAAAACAGGGTGCCTGTATATCCGTCTAAAACCTTATAACACGTGAAATATGATGTCACGCCCCACTCTATGTATCTATTAGTTTCGTTTCTGTCCTATCTCTTACTGTTTTCACAGTTTTAAAGTTGTATTGATAACTGTCTGTATATGGAGGCTACTTTCTATTCCTTAGTTTGACTACTCAGTTACGTATGCAAACTTTTGGAAGATTTCTCAAGATGTAATTTGTAGTTGTTCACAGGCTTTTAGGAAAATTGACGCAACATATTTGAAAGTATTTGCATGTATATGCGACTTTACTGTTTTTGAACTTATATGACTTTTGGATAGTATAGTGAATTAATGTACGTGATGAAATTAGCTTATCTCTAAAGACGTATGTGACTTAAGTAGACCACAAAAACAGAGTGAAATGCTTGCAAAAGGCTGATCAACAAGGTCATTGTGGTTTATTCAATGCTGTCACAAGTATTTGCTACTTGGGTGAGTGTTTTTATTAGTAGATTCCGAAGTGATATTGACCAGACGCGAAATAATTCTTGCTGTTTTCATCTTATTAAAGTCTTTCAATTTTTAAAATGATATATATGTATATATATAACACATTTAGATTGCGGATTTTGTGAGGATTTGGATGAATTTCAATGTAGATATCGCTACGAAACAACATCAGATGGATATCACTGATAACCAAGGAGCACTGAATAGCTGTGGCTGAATGGTCAGCAAGCTTGGTCCCTTAATCTGAACGTTCCGGGCTCGACTGCTCGTGGGCTCATAGATTTGCACTGATGAAGAGTCCCAAATGAAGACGAAGTGGCTGCGTAGTGTTCTCTGGTTGTCAATGATATCCATCTAGTGTTGGTTCGTGACAAAAACAACATTGAAATATATAACACAGTTACGGAAGTATTTTAGTACTACTTTTAATTTACTCACTAATTGGCTATTGCACATATTTGATTTTTTTTTCCAGATTCCCATGGGATTAATTAAATTCACAACTCTCTAAATGACTTTTAATTGAATTATCTCCATATATTCCATCTAATGGGGAAGCAACACTGCCTTGATTTATTACTCAGTAATATACCGTCTTCTTTCGTCGCCTACATTGACAAGTGCCCTGAGTTTCAAAGTATTGATAATTGGCTGTGGAAATGTTTAATAAACGAAAACAGTAAAAAGTACGCTTGTTTAGTAATTACCTCTGGACTGTGCGACTATGGACCTTTGGAGAATTGTCAGCAGTCACTCAAAATTTTACATACAAATAATTATCCGAATTCTGAATACCTCATAAACAGCTTATCTGAATTATCTAACACTGCTGAAAAACAAGATAATCAGCGTCTATTCATTTTCATAGAGTCTTTATCTTGGTTTCTGCTTGACTGTCCTGCTGATTATGAATTTGATCATTGGTGTCACTTTATTGTTGGTTCACTATTCAATCTTTCATCGATACATAATGTTTACAGAATCATTTGTCACTTTCATCCTATCATGAATAATTCTAAAGAAGTATATTATGGTGCATCTTCTACGATTATTGACATATTGGAAGCATGTGCGACGTCAGTTATTCACTCTGGTTCATTGGATAAGTCAAATATTCTCAGAAACCGGATCTCCCAGTCGATCAGTTTATTTCATCGTCGAAGTCTTCAAGGTGAATGCAATAAAAGCTCGAGTAACATGTTAGCCTTCAATAAGTCTTCATTTTCAGAAAATGGTATTATCGAGCTTGATACTCAGACTTTAAGGATTTTAAAGTTCTCTTTGCATAAAAATGAGCCGGATTTTACACCAATAAGTAATCCACTACCTCAGAGTACTTTTGAATTGACAATGAGTGAAAGTGAAAAAGCCGCGCGTAGTCTTGTGGTTTTACCACATGAAGCAGCACGTCTAGCCAGTAAATCTGGAACAAATGACTCTAGTTGCAATATTCAATACCAACCGGATTGTTTTGATGACCTAGATGATGAAGATCCAGATGATGACCTAGATATTTGAACACTTATCATGTTCTGTTTTATTTTTGTATAATAGTTTATTTTCAAGTTGTATCTTTAATAAATTTTGTAAAAGACTAAATTAAGATCTTCGGTTAATCAGTAATGTATAAAGATATAAGGAATAAAATTTTTATACTTGTGTGATTTCGTAATTCTAAGTTTTCTCGTATACCAGAAGTTATATATCATCTAAAAACATCACAATACTTATTCGTCACGCTAGGATAGACTTTCGTGCGGTTATACGTCTTACACTGTCGTGATAAATATAGTGGATATTGCTTAGAAATAATAAACAGGATTGTCCTTGCCCCTGTAAAATAGAAGAATAAATCAAAGCGACGGTATCTATTTTTTACCTCGTTACAGGATGACTAATCTTACTATGTAGTCATTAAGAAAGTTGTAGTCTTAATTTACCTGATATATTCACGCAATAATTAAGTGCTTTGCAGAATTATATGTATATCTGATTGTATAGTCGACTACGTTCTTGAGATTGACTTTTTCACCTAATACTGGAATTCGAACTTTTTTGCCCCAACAGTTGGTTGCTTGTGTACAGTGATAGTAGTACATCCTAGTTATTCGTCGATAGCGGTCTAATTAAGTAACACTCCGGTGCTTGAAAGACTTAACATCCATTGAGCTCTGTATCTATACGTTTTCATTAATAAACCAGTGTAGACGCAGGATAAATAGTACAGTAAATAATTGAGTACTTCGTTCCTACTGAAGACCGTAATGAGTAGTTCGAATTCAGGGAATACATGTATTTGGTAGTGCGAAATTATGGATTGACATGTACATAGAAAAGAGATTTGCCTTTTCGATGAATCATCCTCAAGAGCTATACATTGGCGGTTTTGTTTAACAGAGTTCATAAAACCAAGTCGATACTGGTATGTTCTAGAAAATGTATTATGCAAGTTGGAATGTATTCTAGATGAATAAGTGGAGACTAAAAACATAGGAGTTGGGAATACTTGATAAATGTAAAAAATGACTCAATCCAAATATACGAAAGCTATGGGAATGCGGTAGTGTTTATATACAAATCCGTCCTAGAAGTAGACAATAATAGTGATAAAAATAATTATAAAATAATCATGAACAAAATGAAACAAAATTATGGTAAGGTCGTGACTCTGACCACAGTAAGATGAGTGAGTGTATGCAGTGTTTTTGAACGCAGAGGTCAGGTTCTAGGTCCCGAATAGCTAGTGGCATATTCGAAGTCCTTTCTTGCGATATTGAGGAATTTAGTGTAGCAAGATAAAGCGATCCTGTGCAGGTGCCCAATTTCCAAAGTTGGCGAGGTGTTCGAGGATGGAACTACTGGTGTTCGTTTTTGTCTCCTCTGGCTAACCAGGCTGGACAGTTTTATTTTGTTTATGACTCAATATAGGAATTTTCCGTTCAAGATAGAAAGGAAACTATCTAAGTTGTATGTTTTTATATCTGCGTTATGTGATTCGGGTTCCTCATTTAATTTTGGAAGTTTGTGTTGCTATTTTGATTTTCATGAGCCTTTGCAAGATGAACCTAACAGCATAGTAACCATATAATTGACACCATCGAAAAAATTAGTTTCAGTACAGCGAGCTAGAAATGGTACCGCAGAACTATATTATTGTTACTATTATTATTAATATTCTTTGTGTTCCAAATGGAACATAGGACTTCGGTGGTACGTCACCATTGCATTCGATTGTCTGCTATCACTTCCAGCCGGCTATACGATTGTCCAAAAGCTTTCATTTCCTCTTCATACGATCTCTACGTCCCTCTCGGAGACTCAACTTATCAATTCCCCATTCCACTCTGGAGCCTAGATGTGATGTCATTCAATGGTATCTTCAGAATATGCTTAGTCCATCTCCATTTCCTTCCGCGCATTTGTTGGGTAATAGGTCCTTTACTGGTTTGTTGCCAAAGTTCCTTGCTGAACATCCTTTCTAGTAATTTGATCTTCATTGTCGGGTAAAGACAGCTGTCGCCCAATTACTTCTGTGTCGATAAGCTTGAGGTACAAAATGAACTGCTGTTCTATGATGATGCGTATTGTTACAGTTTGACTGGCACGTGAGTTGTTTCTCCTGAATCCATCCTGTTCTGGATCAGTTCTTCTCCAGTTCATCTTCTAGTCTTTTCAGGATGGTTTGGATTGATATTTAGCTTGGATTGGATATTAGTATACTGTTCCTCTTGTTCTTTTACAGGCTTAAGTCACCCTCTTTTGGCAGTTTGACAAGTTTGCCCTTCTTCTAATTGACAGGTATCTTTCTTTCTGTTCACACCTTGTGCAGCAGCGGCATGAGCATATCCACTGAGGTTTATAATTCCGTTTTAGGGCTTCTGGAGGTGATTCCATCGGCTTCTACTGAATTGGCCTTCATAACTTCTACTTTTGTCTAAGGGTTGGTGATAATTGGTTTTTTGGTGATACTGGCTGATGTCTCCGACTTTTTCCTGATAGCTGAAGTGGTGTTCTTCGGTGTATCCAACTGGTGGAACGCACGTTCTTTTGTTCATTTTCTTTTGCTAATATATACCGCCTCCGATCACCGAATAGTCGAGGACGCAGAAGTCTACAAATAGTTGTCTTTTTTCATTCCACTGAACACCCATATACCTATGGGGAGTTCTCTTCCTGCATTATTTTCCCCTAGCTCTGCTTGCATTCATAATATTGATTGGGATTTTGATGTCGCCATTTAGGGTCTTATCCATTAGTGTTTGGAGTTGTCAGTAGACATCTTCCTTCTCTACTGGGTCTGTGCTGTTTGTGAGGAACGTAGTTTTGTATGAATGTATCTTTCCTTCTTTATAATTTGAACCTTATTGTCATGATCCTGGAGGAGATTAGTTCCTACTGTAAAATTGCCTTTAATATTGATGCTAACATCACGGTAGCTAAATCCTATGTGTACTCGCGGTTGCAGTTTGGGTGACCGGAGTAGATTACGATTCACGATTCGGAGAGTCCAAATCCACATCCATCTGCTCTGACAGATTCCTAAAACTTCTATCTTGTCATTTTTTCCCCAGTCTAGGTAGGCTTACCAGCCAGGGACAAATGGATAGGATAACCCGAGAAAACCTGTTACTCTTTAGGCAGAAAGTGTGCTTATTGATTATATCTTCAAACTTCAACAGATTATGAACATAGTCATATCTACCGGTATTCAACACTTGACATATTTTTTGACTTGGAGGAGACATCTGACTCCGTCGATTGAGAGGTGGTAATATCTAGTCGTGAACGGGGTGCCGAGGAAGTATATTGCAATAATCAGGGTATGTTATTCGAATTCATGCAACTGCACGCAAGAGTTGTCTCTCGAAGTGATAGCAACAAGTGGTGTCCGTCAAAAATTCCCTTTTTGTGTGATTTCCTCATAGGTATAGTGATGTAACTGACCTTACCTGAATTTGGTGACTTAGGGATTGACTTGGTACCAGAAAACAGTCTGGTTAATTTAGAGTATAGGTATGATGTTGCCCTTCTAGGTGAATCTGCTTGCAATATGTGCAGTCTTCTAAAAACACTGGGCATAAATCTTAATATGTTTGACATGCGATTCGCCCCTGTCAAATATAAGATGACGCTGCGAGGTTGGTGTGTACTGACTTCTATTTTGAAGATTGTGAGCGAAGCTTGTTGACTACTGCAATCATTCGGGAAGTTGCGTCAGCCCTGACGAATTGACTGCTGGTTAAATTCCACCATGGATACAAATAGCTCATATGGAATTTGCCGACTGACGTTATCTCTGGCGCAGGCGTGATATCCAGCTATCGATCAAAGGACATACATACTGCTTAGAGGTTCTCTGTGTCCTTCTCTATAGCTGTGAGGCGTGAAAATTGAAAATAGAGCATATGAAGAGTCTAGTCATCTTCGACCACAGGTGTTAGTGTTCTATCTCGCGTGGTAATTGCTGGTGAGTAGTATTGAGGTTATGAACAGCGTAAGGAGGGGGAGTATGTCAGTCGATCAGTTTGTAGAGATTCATCGATTGAGATTGCTAGGATATGTGATAGTAGTCAACTCAGGGAAACAAATATTCTTCACCAATACCAAAAATTAACAAATCAGATTACAACTTGAGCAAGCTATCATTAGCAAATTTGACTCTTTCGTGTCCATATGGTGTTTCACAGTGTGATACAACAAATATTAAAACTTCGCATCTATCGCTTAGTTAGTAATACAATGGGCTGATAAAAAGCCAACCCGATATTCAAGTATCCTCAATGTAATTGACCTCTTCACTGAGTAAGTAATGATGAAATCAACAAATGTGGCTATGAAAGGCATATAATTACAATACAACAGCACAAAGTTCTAGCATCAATATTAGTGATTAAGTTTGCTTTCTTCATTTGATGAAAGCACTTTCTAGCAAGAAGAAATGCAAAGACCCATTCGAAGTTGGGTGGATATTTTATTGAAAGTGCTTTGAAACTTCCACATTCTGTGTCTCATTGAAAATAACAAAGTGGAGTTTATTATTATTGGCCGCACAAAGCGCACGCTTTCCAAACGCATCTCTGAGCATTATCCGGCATGGTTAGCAAAGGGACAATGTAAGACAATTACTAGCTCAATTCTCGAGCATTTGGTGAACTCAGGCCACGTAGCTCCACCAGAATCGTCTTTCAAGATCATCTACAAAGTGAAGCCAAATGGTACAAAGGGTGTCAGGTTTCGGCTTTTGTGTATGGCGGAGGCTCTAGCAATTCATCAATACAACCCTGAACTCTGTATACAGAAAAAGTTTGTCCAGTCTCTTATTCTACCTTGGTCTTAACCTCTTCACTAATCGTTCCTTGTAAATAAAATATTTTTTGATTTTTTCTTTTCATTCTACTTTCATTTTTAGTTAGCTTTTGCTTTAATAATTAATTCACTATTATCACTCTCATATGCTCCTTTTGTATATTTTCACACCCTCTTCACACTTGTTAAATTGACACTCAAATACCTTTATTCTCACTTAATAGCAATTTTAACCTTATCAAATTTCTATCTTTTTGCCGTTGAGTACCACGTAATTTTCAACTTCTAATTTTCACTTCTAAAGCCACTTCTGAGTAATTATATCAATTATGTCACCCCCTATTACTCAATAATAGACCACTATATATTTTTGTAAGTATAAATACGATTGTACAGCCTCTGAAGATGATTTTTCTTCGCTGAATCCGTCTTTTATTAGAAACTTGAATATAATTGACTTGCAAAGATAGCTAACTGTTAACCAGTTAATAACAACTGAAGTTGTGCGAATTAATTCACGATTTGCAATTTAAACAGTCCGATCAGTAGGATATATCATGAATTATGGTTTATATTATGTATGTAATATGAAGCGTGTGTATGAGGTAAAGAAATTAGTAGGCATTGGAATTTAGATTATAAAATAAAACACTTCGAGAAAATATACTGTTGGTGATGCACGCATATTTGACCATTTTAAAACGTAAGGAGAATTTTCAATTTTTGTTTTCTCTTACTTATGTAGGTGAATAACTCGATTATCTCTCGACTATATGTGAAGCAGTTACTTTGCGGTGAAGACTCACTTATTTACCAGATTTCAACTGTTTATAACTTAAGTACTTCTTGCATATTTTGCATGTCATGAATGATACACGAAATAATTCATGCCTAGTGAGGTTTGTCTAGTTGGTACCGTAAACCAACACTGGTGAAGACTTTTTCTTTTAAAGCGCCAAATTTTACCTTGGAAATGGTTGCGTCACATATTGATATTGGTGGTTCGAAAATGGCACTTTCTCAGGCTGATGTTTTCAATCAAATAGTGGTATGAATGTAAGCTAAAACACCGTGCAGTTCAATTGACGCTATCATCTTCAAACATTGGCAGATATTAAGGACGACATTCAGAGAAGACAAGTGTAACAGGATGAAAACATGTCGTTATCTTAAGTAAAATACAAGAATGAAAGCAAAACAACAAAGATCTAAGGTTTTTCATAGAGACTCAGTCGTAGGTAACAGTTACTCCTCTTTATATAAATACAGCACAGTTGATTGGTGTCAATGATTCCTTTTCTGGATTATTTACAGAATAGCGACGTCTGTAATTCCAGATTTAACTGAATATTTATTTGCTGATCATCTTGTCTAACAAAATTCTTTGGCTTTATAGTGACTGATAAATAAAGTTAAATATAACTTAGTGAATCCGACTATTAAGTCCACAAAGGTTCTCTAGGACAGTTGGTGAGTTTGAATACCATTCAGTGTTATCCAAATTGTGTTATTTATATAATCTTCAATAATTTTAATTCTTACTAATTTGATGCACTTTAAAATCAAAAGCTTGAGTGCAATAGTTACTAAGAAAAATAATCGCGCAGAAAAATTTTGAGCAGACGTATTAAAACTCATGCAAATTTATGGGCTTATTGTCAAAGTAAGCCCACATTCAGTTCTTAGGAAACTTCAGCTTCATATAAGTTGGGGAAAAGTGTTCTGAAGAATGCACCACAATATAATGCATAATTTGGTTGAAGTCGCCAAAAATATTCTTCCTAGGCTAAAACTATGGTCTTAACCCTGAATCAAAATTTTCAGGATACACTGAGTTGCAGACTGGGAACGGATATGATCATCACTTTAAAAGAGGAACCAATGGGCTCTCCACACTTTGTTTTCGATTGAAGCTGGTGTTCCTCATTGTACTGATCTTTTCCTTTTATTTTCTGTACGACATATTTTTTATACCGTAGATTGATTTTTCAGGTGTGCTCACGATTTGACAGTATCCATTGCATTTATCTCCAATAACACTGAATGATGGTTCTTTCTTGAATAGATCTATCCTTAATCCATCAAGACATTAACGTGTCAATCTTAGCATCAGATGTGGAGCAAACTTGTGCAAGTCCTTACATTTCATGCATTAATGGTAGTTCTGTATTAGCGAATCTATGCCGTCTAATCCATTTAGGTCCGCGTTTCCCTTCTGAATAATTTAGGCTTTTAGATATCTTATTGTTTTTGAGATAAGCATCATATTTGACACCCTGCATATGAGGCCTATTGATTTGAATCATAACTCTGAACTGAATTTTCAGTGTAAAACTGTGCACAAAAGTTCAACAGGTCAAGTTGCCACACCACAAAACCACACAAAAAGCAGAGGAAAGAAATGCAGTGCAACCACAGTAAACCAAAATTTGCTGCAAAAAGAATAAATGCATGAAAAATAATCTGTTTTTATTGAATCTAGAAAAACTGTTTCACTGAAGACATTGCCACCAACAGGGTATGGAGGACTCTGTATGTGGATCAAACCAACAGCCAAAGACCGCAAGTAGTTCTAAAATCGGTGCGTATTCATGAATGTAAAACCTAGTTAATGACTTTGACAAATGTTTTCTTCGTTACAACCGTCATTTGTTTTCCCCATGATTTAATTGGCGTATTCCTCAATTAAAGAATTCATGGATTGATGCCTTGTTTTGATTTCAGCTTCCCTAATACCTCTCCAAACTAATCTTATGCCAGCTAAAATTGTTTCCTGAGGAGGAAAACAGCTAGGAATGATTAAAATGTGCGGCTTCATAAACTCATCAGATGACTATCCCTCCCTAACTAATACTCTACCTAACGTCATTTTTGGTGACCACAGAGTTCGAGAGATTCGGCAAATGCCAAACTGATATTTTATTATCAATCACTAATCAGTCCAATACTGCTGATGCAAATTTCCAAATAAGTTGAGTGTTTAACACTCCCAACCATTTCATTGACAATCCGTAAATTATTATTTATGCCGTTATGAATTTGACTGGTTTCAAATATTTTCCAAGCGGAGTGTATTTATTGCATCGTTAGTGAAGAAACTTTGAAAAGTATAATTCTGGAGACCTTTTGACAAAATAACACTTGGCATTAATTAGAATAATATTAATACTAATGCAGTAATAGAACGCAACGGTTTATTCAGAGCTCCATTCAGTGAAGTAAACCAAATTATAAAAGTACAGTGTAGTAAGAAATGTACTGAATCTACCTATAAAATGTTTTTTGACATTTAAGACCAAAGGTAAATGTAATGAGTTGTTATTAACAACTTTTTAAGTACTTTAAAAAGCACTCTTAGAATAATGTCCTTACTCGACGAGACAATTCAATTCGAGTGGCTGTTTAGCTTACCATATTATTTGAGAGTGGAAACTATATTTTCTAAGTTTGCAGTCTTCATCCAATCAACAGCATCTAGAAGACTTCAAATCATGGTCTCAAAACCTGTTTTTCTATAGGTAACGATTATAAAATTTTATAATGAAGTTCTTCTGCACCTCGTGCCAGGCATCTAACAAATCCTACAGATAGGTGGAGTTGATTATTAAGTTGGAATCCATATCGACTTTTGGAAATCTGATTTCAGTTAGGACCAATAAAACGTCTTATATATATATTATATATATCTGTACTAATGACTTTTATTCCAAAACTGAACACAACTCTCTTTGTGTTTACTTTACTTGGAATCAATTGTATCCTATTTTTATGCATGAAATACATCAAGTAAATGAACACGGAAAATCCCCCAGTGGATAAAATCAATAACAGTAGTATTAACTGGTTACCATAGTTACACTTTCGCTTGTATGGCAGAGAAGAAAGTTTATTCTGTATTCATATGTCTAACAGAAGCTACTTGATTATTTTCCCGTATTTATTTCATAACCATTTTCAAGGTCAAGCCGAAAACCAACCTATATGTCGTTTAGAAATTGCCTCATTCATCTGTTTATCGCTGTTACAATAGTTACAGTAAAATTAAGTGACGGAAAGCTTTTTTCAAATGTCTTGATTGTTGTTGAGAATTAGTAAGAGCACATATTACTTCGTTTTTCTTATTATCACTTATCCTTCAAGCAAAAGAAAACATTTGCCAGTCATAATTGTCACCACTAACAATAGAATCATTTATTGTCAGTAAATAATTAAAAATAATAGAGATTTCAACTAACTGAATAAAAAAAGGTAAGTAAAATTTAGTGTTATTGTTGCATGCTCTGAGACTTTAATTGTCACTTTTTAAAATAGCTGATGCTTAGATCAAAAGTGATTAATCCTCTATTTTTGATGAATATGACAGTCATTGTCTCTTATGATACATACTTTGTTTTTACTATGTGCACCGGTATTCCTATTATTATTATTATCATTATTATTATTATTATTATTATTACTTATTATCTTAACTCTATATCTGATTGTATATCTTTATCATTTTCTTTATTGACTGATGCATTAATTCTTTATGTCTTGTGATGCCTGGTTGTGGAATTTAGAAAACTCGCTGCTGACTGTTTCAGACTACTCAGCTAAATGTTTATACAGCCCACTTAGTGCAGATGTTTCCACTGCAACTCAAACTTAATGAATGAAAATTCTGCTATTTGTTAATTGTTTACTTTGCATTTGCTTATTTTACGGAGGTAACCTCGCCTGGTTAACTAGCCTACTAGTTTTCTAGCCGGTCTCAGGTCCGGGTAAAGAGTGAGAGTTGAGTTTGGGGCTAGCAACCCTACACCATAAGAGCTATCAAACTGTTAGAGAAATTTCAACACACAAAATATATGTTAAAAATACAAAAAATTCAAATAACAATCTCATAATTTGCTGGAAACGGAGAGGCGAAATGACGCGGGCTGGTGACAGCCAGCTGTCGAGAAGCCAGTCAGCCAGCCGATGGGTCTTCTCTCGATGGAAGCAAGAATAAGAATGGGGTCGTGGAATGTCCGTACAACCTACGAGACTGGTTGAGAAAGCTGCCCAAGTAGCCGAATATATGGCCTAGTAGTGCTGGGTATCTGTGAGAGCAGATGGAATGGATGTTGATTTTCAAAATTGTCAACTGGAAAGTCAGTAATCTACTCCGGTCTAGTCACATAGACGACAACCACGAGCACACTGAGTGGCTACCATGATGTCACCAGTAACAGTCAAAGCCCCAATGCAGTGGGAACCAATTTCCTCCAGCAGGATCATGACGGCAATGTTCAACTCAAAAGGAAGGTCACGATTATCATACAACGCTACTCAGAGTGCTACAAACAACGCGGAATAAAAGAAGGAAGATTTTTTCAGACAACTACAAACAGTAGTGGACAACATCCCAAATGGTGACATCAAAATCCTTTTGGGAGATATGAGTGCAATCCGAACTGGGAGCTGACAATACAGGAAGAGAACTCATCATGGGTAGAGAGAAATGAATGAGAACGGAGAATTCTTCGCAGACTTCTGCGCTTTCAATGATTTGGTGATAGGAGGCAGTGTGTACAGGCACAAGGATATACACAAGGCCAGCGACACGGATTTCGCCTGACGGACACACCACAAATCAGATAGATTTCATCTCAATGTTGCCCAAGGAGGTGGAGACTCAGCCAGTCTGCTGGACACAAAGTCGACAAGGGGAGCAGATGTGGGCTCAGATCAACATCTAGATCAAGAAACCTTCAAGATGAAGCTGAAATCCTCCTGAACAACTGGCGATAGGGTACTGTTCAACATCCAGAATCCGAAGGACAAAACTACAAGGGATACCTTCACTACATCATGCTGCCTTAGTTACATCATTAATCATCTTCAGGCGTGGTTATAGGTGTTATTTGAAACTAAGCCATTTTCTACGTACCTCCACAAGAATGTAAGGGTACTTCTGGGAGATAGTGGTAATAAAAAGTTATGAATCACCTTGGGAGCATCTCATTTTGCAATACTATATACTTTATGATGTCGTTCATTACGTTTTCATAATAATTTTCCGATTTATCCAGATACTAAGTCTTTCATCATTTTTCACACCCTATCAACTAAACATCCAACCTTAGGATTTCGAGAAATAACATGAATATTGCAAAGTCTGAAAAGGTATATTCAAATCGCGGAAAATATTATTACTGTCGAAGAATTCTACAGTGTGCAGGAGAAACTTCCTAAATGTTAGCATCATTTGGCCAATGTCGAATTTTTATGCTAAACTTGAACTATGAGGTTTAACCACCTATCTACTGGATTGTGTATAGACAGTCATGAATTATTTACTCACATAAAGATTGACTATTCAAATCCTACCATGACCGACATTTCGTATCTTATTGCAATCACCAGATGTGTAAATCTGGAATCCACTTATCTGAAATCCAAAGATGATTACTGTAGCTATTCTGATTAATGCTTTTTTTGCCGTTATAGCGATTTCAATTTATTGCCAATATTGTCAACATTTTGCTCAGTTCTCGAAAGGACATCTGAACAGTTTGTTTCAGTTATCTTGACAACTCTACACCAAAAGCAATGAATTTTGAACAGGATATGTCAGAAGTGCTTCGAAGCTATGAAGTTTTACGTGAAGAGTCGGAAAGACAAGTAAATTATTTAACAACTGCAATCGTTGAAATAGAAGATGTAAGTAGACTTATACTTACTTTTATGTTTGGTGGTTGCAAACAAGCAGCAAGAGGCCCTCGCCTTGGTCTCATGCATATCGACATTCGTCAGCAATATGTATCTGCAACACCCAAGGAACTGATACTCCTTCAAGATTCGAACCTAAGTCAATGCGTTTTTCAAGTAATGTCTCTGTTTCGTGCCTGGGTGACACTGATTCGAGTTTCTGAGGGCATGTTAGTTCCATGGTGACCACATTACAAACTCGGCTGACTGAACTCAGTCAGTATCAGCACTTAAAACTAGACACATGACAATAGTTGCAGCCTAGTAACCAATCAGCGCTTATATTTTTGTTGAACTTTACTAGTTTTTTAAATGTTTAATCAGTAATAAGTAACCCATGAGTAACTATTAAAATTTGTAATGTTCATTTGTTGTTTCTAATTACCCAGTACTTCATCAACCCTTGAAATTATATGAATTTTGAATTCACGTCTTTCTGTTGTTGCAAATATTACTTTCCTTCTATGGAATTGCTAGTGTTTCTCATAACCTGCTATAACTGTTCTGCTGTGTCATTTATCTCTATTTTTTATATATTAGCATCGGAATAACTTCTGATTTTTCATTAAAGACTAGATTCATCGTTTATTCTATCAAGACGTCTTTAAAGATCATCTATGAATGAAGCAAAATGCACTTCTAAACAATGCATGAAGTCGAACTTCAGATATTTGCACTCTACCTGCAGCTGAACATTATTTCTCGGTACCTTCCTGAATAAATTACCCTATTTCTCTCAATTAACAACTGCTCTCAAGTGAGAAGCTGAAAAAATTCAGTCAAACGAAGTTACTTGAAGAACGTAGGCTGTTGAACAGCCCCCTACTTGTACAAAACAGGCATTTAGCAACCTTAAGCTTTTGAAAGTTCTAAATTGACATCTGTGTGTAAGGAAAACCAACTAGGAACCAATCAATCTTCAACCAACATTCAAGTAAACAAGAATACAACTTTCACTGGTAGATTCAAGATAAATTTTCAGGAATTCTAGTGAGAAATAAAGGTTAAGCCGTATCTCATATTGGTAGGTAAAAACGGTGGTCACTGGGTTCCATTCCAATCCAGTGGATGAATAATAATAAATTCGTTAAACGTTAAAAATCAACAGGGAAAACGAATAGAAAAGGGATATGGCTACTGAAGAAGCCTTTGGAATGTAATTAAATTCAATGGTAAAACAGTTGATAAAATCAGCGATGCATAAATGAAAGTATAGGAAGTAAAAACCAAGAATGAAAATAATAAAAATTTGAATGCGTTACAATAAAATCCACAACGTACATGCCTACGTTGTAGCAACTGGATACTACTTGATGTTTGTTTGTTATCATGATTTAAATATTTTTCTGGAATAATTTGCACACATTGTGTGGCTAAGAAAGTTTATTTCCGTAAAAGATAGTATTTGTCTGTTTTTCATAGAGAAAGTGAAATTAAAAGAATTAGAACTTCTATGGAAGCACACTTAGTAGACACATTGTGCTGAATAGACAAGATTTTGTTCGTTCTCTAAAACTCCTGTCTCCTACAATTTATTACATTTGAGAATGCAAGGCGACAGCTCTACATTTAAAAAAAGCATTCAAGCTTTACTTATCTGCTGAGTTTCTATATACTGCGAATTACTTTTCTCATTTATACTCTTTTTCCTATTAACGGAAGTTTTCCTTATTGATATGAGTATAAAGCTTGGGCACTGTGGTGGAGTATAACTCCATAATGGATAAGATTTTATCTTGATAAATCACAGAGTGTTGTACAGTAATATTTACTGATGACGTTTTGAGCACAAATTGTTGCTCATAATTATATCAAGACACTCACACAACTTTCTAACTTCATTTGTATACATGAGTAAAAGGACCCAGTGGAACCAATTAAACAAAATAATATAATTTACAAAATACCTTGCAATGACTGTGAGTTAGGTCAACTACATAGGTCAAACTAGTAGGTCAGGAGTAGTGAGATTATCAGAACATAAGAATTTAACTAAAGTTAGAATGATTGATCCTACGAAGATAATTAATTTAGAAAAAAACTCAACAATAACATTGCATGCGTTAACACACAACCACACAATAGGGTGGGAAGGAGTAAAAATTCTAAAAAGTATTATATATAGCTGGAGACAGAGACCGATTGATTACTGAATCCTGGTTCATCGAGTGTACACCCGACACATACAATAGAAGTGACACACCGCAAATACCAGAGATATGGAAGATATTATTACCAGTCAAATCAGAGAATAATAAATAATGTAAAAATGTATTCAATTCACATTTTAACATTCTAACAAGTTACTTATTTTTACTATAAAAACATCTTATTTCCCACCCTGTTGTACTTCATTGATAATACCAATAATATTATTCCCGAATATACTTTATCCTAATATTGATTTTATTCGAATATCTAGTCAGTTTTTACTCATGTATACAAATGAAGCAAGAAAGTTGTGTGAGCGCCTTAATATAATTATGAGCAATAATTTGTGCTCTAAACGTCATCAGTAAATATTACTGTACAACACTCTCTGATTTATCAAGATAAAATCTTGTCCATAATATGGTAGTTTTCCTTATTCTTTTCGTTTGCAAGTATATTTATTAGTTCGGCTATCATTGTCTCTATTCATTTCGGTGTGACAAATTTTAATATTGCCATTAATATGGCACCATCCTACATGTTTTTTTTAACCGCATTTTTAGTACCTTTTACTCAATTTATATTAGTCATCGGTAACTTACTGAATGCTTATTAGATGACTTAATCATATCACTTTTGTTCGCTTTGTGTTTGCACACTTATCGTCATAGATCACCACTCAGCCAATGCCTTCTTAGCTTCAAGTCGTAATCAAATTCGGCAAACACGCAGAACTGGATTAATCTTGTTATTATTTCTTTTTCATGTTGTATTTGAAATTTACTAATTACCTCTAATTACCATGAAAACTCGGTACGATAACTATAAGACTAAAAGAGAATTTATTGAAAGAAATACTCTTCTCTTATATGTATTTGATTCTTGTTTCACTATACAACAATGTTAGAGCGCACTGAATTATTGAAATTATTCATCTTTTCTGTTGATGATATTCAGATTCTATCACACGCTATCATTTTCATTCCCCAGAAGCTTATTCGGAATAAACGAAGTTACGAACAACAAATGCAAAAAGTCGGTAAATTATTTCAATCAGATGTCAACAATTTAAAGAAACTGATAAATGTAAGCTGACCCTTTTACTTATTTTATAAAAGAAAATGATGATTAAATATGTCAGTTACTGGAATAAGAACTTTATGGTGAGGTTTTTACTGAGGAAGAATACATTTCTAAGTCTGGCGATGACATGAAGTCCTGATAAGTTTTCGCTTGTTCATACAAATGCACAACTACCTATTCATTCATCATTAGTGCAACTACCAGAGGCTATTCGAGTTTAAGAAACCGGTCAGGCATACAGTTTACAGGTGAACTGAAATCCCAGTTAGCTTCAAAATAGAAACCTTCAGTTTACTTGCTAAAAACTTTACTGATTAAAAGATTCAGCTGCTGAGTTTTGCAACCGAATTCTTAAATTCCTTTCAGTCACTGACTCTCCAAGTCTCACTAAAACTCAATGTTCCATTTCACGTAGACCATTACTCCGTCTGAATATTGATTAGTTAACTTGAAGATGGTTTTTAACATTAATGAAATATTGATAAGTAAACAGTGTTTAATTATTCGTAGAAAATTCTCATTTGAACCTACAGAAAATCAAAACAAGTGCTTCAGCAAAGAGACTCTTTTCAACGGATTTATTACCAAGCTGTATAGTCGTATGCATATGGTTTTTAAGAAATTATATCCGGTGAGGGAATTGAATCATAGGTATGAATACACCAAATAATAAATGTACCAAATGCAATTAAAATTAAAATGTTTGTGATTATGATTATAATTAAATGTCAAGTAACAAGACAGTGGTTGTCGTCGCTTCGACTTTCTGTGTGAAAAACCACACGATCTTTCGCGTGTTCCATACACTTGGTTAGTAGAAAATGAGTGAAATTATATTTGTTCTCTTATGCTACATAGTCTGTCTCACAGCATATCTGAAATAAGTTCACTATTTTCGGGCGAATTAATGACAACCAGCCTTAATTTATCAACTTATGAATGAACACATCGCAATGTAAATTGTACTTCTGAGCTGGAAATCGCATCTATATATCAGGAACCCAAGAATGATGTCCATATACACTTGAGAGTCATGAGTTACAGCCTTCTCAATATTTCATTTATTGCATTTCATTTCGTCATCCTATGTACAAAGACACTTCAGTCAACGGGAACTTTGCGCGAATCCCAATGGAAACTGCACTTCACATCGGTCAGTAGCAAATAGCAATAGCTACTGATGTAAGAATAGAAGTGGGGTACTGTGGGAGAGTATAATCGCTGCATGATACATTGTTAATAATAATACAGGGAATTACACATTCAGATGGTTTTACCTACTCTCACTCCACCTTAACAACAATACTTAAATGTTTTGTCAACAATTTCTTCAGGAGCTGTGCATTCAACTTGAAATTCAATCTTTAAATCTTAATCAACTTGGGAAATGGTTGAAAGCTACTCAGGGATGGATACTGATTCGAAAGTATATCTATCAACAAAAGTATATAAGTTGGAAAGTGAAATTAATGCAAACTTATCATCATGTAAGTTTTATCATTTTTAAGTGAATTATGCAGGAATGATACCAAAACTAAACACCTGAAGATTAATTGGATAGAAACCACCAGTTGGAGGGTCGCTGACCTGCTAAACCAGCTCACCAAACTGTCATTAAAATAACAGCACGGACGTGTTAAATATTTTAAGATCAATTATCGTAGATTATAAGTGACTTAGTCACTGACTGACTGGTGTACTTCTATACCTTAGTAAGTAACTGACAACAACTGATTGCGTTATCATCTAGGAATGACTGGTATCACAGTATTTAGTTCCAAGTGGTGCTTTTTACATCCCTCAAATTTCTTATGTGATCACCAAAGTTAACAACTACTGGCGACATTATGCATTACGCATAGGTTACGCATCCCATGTCATTGGTCGCTAAAACGTATTTATAACATATAGATAACTAATCTTCCCATAAAAGTCTGAACGCATATCAGTCAACGAAGCATTCAGTTGTGCTATAACTGAGCTACTCTACAGACAGTGATTACTATTACTTAATCGATAATAAATTATGTTCTCTTCTTCAGACAGTATGTGAGCACAATGAGAACTGATTAAACAGAAAAAACAGACCCCGGTGACTTCGGATAATGCAGTTGCATTTTGAAGTATGGTTTTGCAGGGATTCTGTTTGATTGAATGGAGGATTTCATCATGAGCTGACATCAGTTAGAGAACCACTGGAAAACCTGGGAGTACTGGACAGCTGTTTCGTCAGACTAGTTTGGGGCTCTTCATCATTACGCAACCACGCCACGGGGTTCGAACCTAAGACCTTCCGGTTACAAGACCAGCGAGCTCGTAGACCATTGAGCCACTAGAACCCCATCCAGTGGCCCATGAATTCTAACTTCTGCCAATTCACGACATAGCGCGACCATTTCGCAATGTCTTCTTCGATGAGTTAGTGCCTCATCTTCAACCTGCTGTACCCTACTGGTCACGGCTTCCCATTAGAACCCCAGGTCACTGCCTGAATAGGGCCAGTCGCTATTGAGCAGTTTTGGTTATTCTTCACTCAAATTAGTGAGATTTTTGTTGTAATGAGACGTTCCTGAATAAACTGTGTTATGAATTCTGACTAGTACGTCGACAAGATATTTGTGAAAGTAATTTGTCTGTTTACTCAGAGCAAGTTTCCCGCAGAGTTTAGTCACAGAAAATGAAATTCTGGTTAAATTTCTGACAGCCATATATGTTTGATCCTTTGATGAGTGCTAATCTAGACATCTGCTGTCTCTTCTAATGCTTATGTACATATGAAATACTTTAGTGGCATGTACCAAGCACTTGCAAATCACAAGACATTTATCAACAAGTTTTCAGCGATCGCTGTTCTCTATTCAATGAAAAAGAGAGCCAGTTAGTATCGATCTAATACTCCAAATTATAACCTTGAATCAAAAAACGGAATATTCACAAACAAAACAAACATTTGTACCACTTCAAGTTTAGCCACATCGAAGAAAAAGAAACTGGTAGTAAAAAGTACCGAAGAACAAAGTTAACAACTGATAAGTGAAATGATGTGAGGCAACCACAAACGAATTCTACTCATCTTGTTAAATCACAACAAACAGCCATTTTCCATTCTATTGAAGATGGCAGAAAGAAACTAAAGAGACCTAAGCAGCTTCAAGCCTTTTTGACACTAAATCTAGAAATAATTAAGTTTATAGAGACAATGAAAAGCTTCTCAAATAAACCATGCAGTTCAGAGAACATAACCACATCAATATCGTTCACCTGAGCTACTGATCACGGTCACAACTGAATTTAGTAGTTGTAATAAGCACAGGGGCATTAAAAACCTTCAAGCAATTAAGCGGAAGCTACAAAATATGGACTTACACGTAGTTCATGGTTGAGTTATTCGCTTCCTATCATGCAAAACAAGCAGTTCACATTGCATTAAATTAAATCAATTCGAACGTGTGTAAGATCCTTAAAGAAGAAACAAACTAACTTTCATTGGATCAGAAGCTGAGAAAGCCTCTAAAAATGTTCTTCAGAAAAGGTACTCTAGGGAATTATTTTAGAAGTTTGAGACCAAAATAATACGATGCTACGGCTTATATTTTTCCGGAAAACATTCGATTCACTGAATTCAAGAGCAACGCCACGACAAAATTCCTGAACAACCAAGTATCTAAGGCAGTCACAGAAACAGTATGAAGTCGGTGGGGAAGATTTGTAACAGAGTTATTTGGTATTGGCGTTGTTGTGTTCTCCGTGCTTGCGAAGGTATCAGTATCATTCTAAGAACACAACTACACCAACACTTTTAAGCGAGACGAAATTAGATATCTCAAAATAAACGTCTGGAGTTCTTTTGCGTTGATTCTTTTTGACTTAAACTTGTCCTAGAATGTTAGGCTTACAAAAAAGCTATATTTTAATTCATACTGCGTACTACTTCTTATGGACCATTTTAGATCCAAACTGTTGACTCATGCAAAGAATTTGTTAGGGTTATCTTTGGGAATGAAGCAGCAAATTATCCTACGTGGAAAAAAAGTCAACATCAGTCCATGGAACAAACTAGATTTGTTCTATGGAAAACTGAGCGATCATGGCTACAGTATAGACGTGAAATAATGGAAGCACAATTAAGTATTCAGTCCAAAGATGAAATAAACCGCATCGAGAATGAATTAAGAAGTCGTGAGGGAATTAAAAGAAATTCTAGTCATCATTCTTACAAAATAAAGGATAAAAAAGACAGATTTCTTGATGAGACAATATCACGGATAGTACAAAAAAGTGAATTACTGAAGTATCCTTACAGTATTAACCATCCACTACATATACATGAACAACAGTTGATAAAAACACAGAATCATTTGAAAGTTGAACGGCTGTCAACACAGAATAAAATAAGATTAAAACAGGGGGAGCTGAATTCAATATTGTAAGTTCCTGATTGTTTTATTCTGTTTATATTCATATCAGTAATCGACAATTTTAGCATCACTATAAAGGTATATTGATTAGGCATAAACATTGTGCTTAAGTAATACACTTCGTCACTGGACAGTTGTATTTAATTTCCAGCTTAAAACATCCTTTCTAAGCATGTTAGGGCTAGTTTTCTTTAATTTCAAGAGCTAAACCAGGAAGTTGAGTAGCAAAATTTTCGAGAATAGTTAGCAAGATTGCTTTGCAACTTCATATGCTTTTAAAAGAATTACTATAAATGTGAGCAGGTTGTGAAAATGAAGGTAAACCTTTGGATTACACCTATAAAATTCAAACAGTCATTTCTAAGTGTACGATGAACGTTCACTTTATCTTTGACAAGGAGTTTCGTGGACGAATACACGGTTTGTGATAAATTCCACCCCTTCCCCTTTTAGACAACATTTTTATGGTAAATTTCCAAAGTAGTTGATTGAAGGAGTTGTTGAATAAACTTGAATATTATTTGTTTTATGTAAACGATATGTTTATCGTCTGAGATAAGATCTAATCAAAGTATTCAGTAACATTTACCCAACTATTAAATACATTTGTGAAGAAGAATATTAAGGTGGCATTTGCATTTTGGGTGTCCTTCTTACTAAGCAAATGGCCGGCTTGATAAGAAGAAACATCTATAAGAAAACTACTTGGAACAGACAACTCATCCATTTCCACAGTTTCGCACCTATACAGCACAAACGGAATTTATTTTATTGCGTTAGTCACAGATTTAGACGCATATTTCCCGGTGACTGTATCGAACATTAAATAGAGAATCTGAATAGTACCTCGCTACAAAATGGTCACTATGTATATACAAAAGCCAGTGGATTTTCACTAAGCCTATCTTGTCTTCATTACTTAGTTACTGTTCACTATATGGCTACCGAATTTTCTCATCACTATTGTTGTTTGTTATCCCACGAACTTATATTGAGGGTACCCTGTTTGTTTGTTTATATTTTTAAAGAATTCATATTTCCTCACACACCAGTGAATAAAACATATATAGGTCACTTAATTGCTTAATCTCATGTTATCTTGTTTTCTCAATGACTCTACATTTTATATGCATTTAAATGATAGTCAGATTTAATACACTGTTAGTCCGTCTTGTACTTATATCCCGATACAGCTCCTGATATAATTTTAATTTGCATTTACTGGCCTTAGATTCATAACTACAAAGTTTAATGAACAATTCTCTGAAAACAGTTGTTCGCTCAAAGTACTATTGTCCTGAATAGCTAACGCAGATATTCAAATTACCACAAACCATAGAGGGAAATTGTGGACTTGGAAGGAATCGAGGAATGCTGTTCAAAAACATGTATTAAAAATGGTTTAGTATAGCATACTTAACAGAACTATTTTAGCTTAGACCGGTTAAAATTTTCGAATAATTTCCAAATAAAAACGTTTACAACAGTTGATGTTAATTTTGGCTTTATTTTTGTAGGAATTACGTTAAAGCGGTAAAATGTCAAATAGCAAGTCACTACATCATATGTACAAAGGTTAATTTAAATGAACTGGAAAAAAGAAGGCACATGCTAACTAAAGTAAGTTGAGCTGTTGATGCAGAACAAAACAAAAGAATATAAGTTTGGAATAAGTAACTTGTTTGAGAAGCACTCTAAAATTTCTACGTTATTAGTTGTTACAGTTGATTAGTTTTCTAGTAGCTTCGATGTAATTTCAACAGCATTTCTGTTTAAAGTAACGTTGATCCAAAGATTATAAGGACACTGATGCTAAAGATCACGACGCACTATCTGTATTGATGGGTGTGTAGACATAATCTTTTTTTAAATGAAAATATAATGAACTGGAAATCTTTTCAACCAGGAAAAGACAATAACGTTTACAGAACAATTTGTTAATAATAATTCGAGAACTGATTAAGAAAACAAACAACAAAGTTGTACACTGATAAGTTTAAAATAAAACATATTTCTTTTTCTTAAAAATCATAGCTTCTAAAAGTGTTGGATGAACTACGAGAAAATGAAGCTGCTGAAATGGACAATTTAGCCAAAGAAAGGACAAATTCATTTGCGATGAGAAGTAAACTGGAAAAAGAATTGAAACATTTACAAGTCTGTCAGAGTATTAACGCAGAGAATCGATTCAGCTATTTCTGCTATAGATATAACCTACCATTATGTAAATTGTAATATTAAACAGTAACTCGACACAAATAAATCGTTTCATCATCTGTGTTGTCGCACATTGTTTTATATTATAAAAGATATTAGAACCTAAAACATACCCTTGCCCAGATCACAAAAACCTCTGCTTTTTAAGTTAATTCGAGGTAGAAATAGGCTTTTACCAATCACTCGATTTTGTGGTGGCTACGGAAACACCAAGTCTTCAACAATCTATTTACAGCATATATGCCATTTTGCTGGAGCTGGGGTGAAATGTACCGATTATGGTGAAGAATAAGGTATACCTTCAGCAACACAAGGAAATAAGAACCGAAATAAATAAATCCATCAATCGAATACTTGTTGATATAAGTATAAAACTTGGGCACTGTGGTAGAGTATAACTCCATCATATGATATGATTATGACCAATAATTTGTGCTCGAAGAGTCATCAATAAATGTTACTGTAAAACACTGTGTGATTTATCAAAATAAAATTTTATCAATAATGTAACCGAATATTTGCTTATAGACTACTAGATTGCTTACAGATGCCTGTGATATCTGAAGTTTCCCTTCAACGAGTATGCTCATCTCCCATTTTGTGCCTACATTGTGCTGATTACGACGCATATCGAGATAGTCTTATGTGTTGAAAGAATGTCTCCTAGTCACTTCAAGGATGATATGTAGGGAAATCATACAATGTGAGATAGATGAATTCATCCTGGTAACTGTAGGTCATGGCACTTAGATATTTATTGGTATTTCTGACACCGTTCTTCAAAATTCTCCCAACTCTAACCATAATCCCAACTTTATAAGGTTAGGGTTATAACCTTAACCTTTAGTCTTAAAATTCATAACCCTATCCCATAGCATTGATTTTCAGGAAAAGTACCTAGTAAATATGTGGGATACTGTATCTACTCTCTCCAAGTCCAAAAATACAGGCATGATTTGATGTGGAATGACATTTCATAGCACCCCCTGTATCTGATTGTGTAGAAGTTAATATATCTTAGCCAAAAACAAGGTCTTTCAAGAGGTGACCTTTAAGACGCATCTGAAGCAGAAGCGAGTAATTTGAAAAAAAACGTAATGCAACGTTAAAAAGTAGTTATGTAGATTAAATTCCTTGTATATGCTCCAAGAAAAAGCTACCACTTTCAAGTACGACTTCTCATAGTTAGGTTTAACGAATTTCGATGCATGAATTCCCCGGGATAACTGTGAATCATAGCGTTTCTTGGCTCATTCATCGCTCTGACTCTAAAAACTTTTCATGGGGCCACAGTAACATTTGTCATTTTTAGAACGCTCACATAACTCCATACTTCTCTTTTTTTCTATATGGATCCTTATCACAGCTCAATCACTAAACTGTTAATCTTGTTACGTAGCTGCAATACATACATTTAACTTCTATTATATGTTGACTAACTATGGTTTTTGACATCGCATCACCACTACCCGTTAACCAATCTTCAACCCCCCCCCCCCCCCCCCCCGTAGTTAAAATTTGATTATTCATCACTTTTTTGAAATGTATAGACAACAATAAAAATAACTAATTTTTATTATTATCGGACAAACCCAATGTACACATACACATAAAAATAAGTATACATTATTGCGATTGTACAGCTAAGTGAAAGAATTCCCCAAAAAGAGACTCTGAGCTGAACCATGTATTTTGTTTTCACTAACTTCTGGATGGGAATTATTCATGGGTGACTTTAAACTACAGGAGCCCAAACACAACTACCAAAAGAACGCATTAATGACGTTGAGCAACCAGACAGATGAGTCCTTAGTATATAAGCGGAGTAACTGATACTACACACGAATCATGGATCACACTTCATCCACATTTAGTATTCAGGCAGTGCTTAGACCACAGGCTCATTTGACTGCGGAAAACAAGCGGCCGACTGTCATCCATGGAATATAAACTTAACGTGACCCACACAAATTACATCGACAGTTTCTGGAGTCACCTAAAAAGGAGGGTCGGAGCGGCGAATCAGGCAAAGAACACGATGCTATACAGTTAACTCGACGAGATCCTAAATAAACCATTTCTACAGCGTGCGTGACCAGACACGCAAACTTATGTATTTGATTAACTAGAACTTTCATTCAGCCCGTGTCATTTCAGCTAGATCCCATTTGGACAAATGTGTGGACAAAAAAGGGACATTTTTGGGAAAACGGGGAAGAAAAGGGTCTATTTTTTTCAAAAGGGTAAAAAACCGATTAAATGGCACAATGAGGGGAAACCATGGAAAATTTCACTGTACACGAGAGGTTACTGATAAATTGTAAGTAGTTCAATGTTTCTGTCTAAATTACATTACCATTAACTGATGCGTTATTCTTAATGTAATTACATCTACAGTTTCCTGTTGAATATTTTCACATCTTACAAGCATAACACAGAAGGAAGTGCTATCACTTAAAAGTAAGAATGGCAGTAGTTTTTACCTGACAACTGAAGTGTTGTCCGTCATACACTAATCTAGACAGACCCACACGCATACATGTGTATCTATGTATGCAAGTATATAAATATGTATACATTAGGAATAGTGGCCATTACGTTGCAGTCACACTGAGAAATCGACCTGTGACTTGTTATTGTCACTTTGACTGTGATAATATAAGGGGTCAGTGTACTTTCTAATAATGTCACTCATATGACTCATCGTTTAACAAAGAAGGTGTTATATGTAGGTTCATGCTTACTGATCAATCAGTATTTATGAAAACATTAGTGGTCAATGTTAATTGCAGCGCAACAAATTTATTTGTTTAGTTGGATTACAGTCACACATTGTGTGCGCACTTTTAAACAGTCCACGATGCAGGTAAGTGGTCGCTGTGGTTCAGTTTTAATTTTTTTCCCTAGTCTAACGATAAATACCCTTTATTAAGCATGAAAAGATTACATCAGCGTAACCCACGTTTCAAATGCCATAACACTACATTATACAGAAGATATAAACGTATCTATGAGCGGGTACTGGCCGAGATCTCAGTTACGTCAACTGAGGCTGTCACACCTGCTGTCCTTCCCGTGGACGTCGAGTCGGCTTCAGTGAACACTGATACCATGACCATTGAAACCGAGGTAATGCCATCGTCACCTTGCAGCAGCCTGACACCAGTATGATTAAACAAACAACTGTTCAGGTGGAAGTAGTCGATAAAGGCTAGTAAAAAACAAATGAACCGATTAAGTAATGTTAGATTGTAAGGGAAGGAAATGAAACACGTTTATAATGAAGATAAGATTAAGGGATGATAAGAAGGGGGTTCAAAATATAAACTAAGGGTGGTTTAGAAGTCATTAGTTGCTTATGTTTTAATAGGCCAAGGGAGGGATAATGGCTGTACGAACTTTTCACAAATGTGCCCACAAGTCTCTTCTGAACGTGATGAAATGACAAGTATTCTACTCAAAATCATGGTTACCACGAACATATCACAAGCAAACTGTAACGGAATCTTGCAGATCTTCCGTGAGAGATTGCCTCAACTACCTACAACTATCAGAAGTGTACTGAGAATGTGTGGCTCTTGCGAGTCAAGACTAGTTAGAGGCGGAATCTACTGCCAAATCGGTCTCCAGAAATGTTTGACCATTTCATCCTTGATTACAAGTTATCGTTGTCCAAATCGTTTTATTTCCTTTAACAATCTGTTACGTAATCAAACTGTGTACACACTTATTCCTAAATTACTCTTCCTTTTTTTAAAATTATGTATTTTGCAATCTACGTGTTGTAAACATTTCTACCTTTTAATTCTGTGTATTAATTTTCTTTGTTAATTATCACCTCATTGACATGTTGACACTGACTAATTATTGTTAACAATATGAAATTATTTTATTATGAATGTTTTAAATTTAGAAAGTTTATTTTTCCATTTATTCAAGATGTGCATTCAAAGATTATTCCAATATGTACCGAATGCTGTTGTGAACACTAAAAAGTTCATTCAGACATTTGTAACTGAGAAAACCTTAATCTGGATAAAAACATCCCATAATATTTATAACCTTGCTATTAGCTTCAGAAGACATGAGTGGGTGTAATTTCTTATGATTATGTCAATCATTTTAAATAATTGGAATTTACTATAGTTTGGTTTGTAAGGGTTAGTTATGTTTTTACGAGTTGATCACGGATTGATATTAGTTAGAGAACCATTGAAAACCAGGGAGTACTGGACAGCTGTTTTATCCTAGTTTGGGAATCATCGGCAGTACGCATTTGTCGATACAGTTTTCAATTATTTTCCAGTACATAAGTTTGTTTTGAAAAATGGTAAAAAATTAATTTATGGATGATCAGTATTCTCAGATGTAGGAATATTCTCTAACAAGGGGTTACTATTGACAACATATCGAATAAAATCTTGCTAACTGGAAAACAAAAAAAGACAGAAAGGGAAAAAAGTATTTCGACCAAACAAATATGAACGAGTCAGACCAATGTGGTATAAATTGTAAAGTGAGTACTTCTATGTATTTGTACTGGAGATAACGACTAACATCTTGCTGAAAGCACTATAAATAATGAAACAATTTGAGATTGGCTTTATTCGGTGTAGTCGAAAACATTTTATAGTTGCATTTTTATTTTTGGCGAAATTGTTACTTGCTACTGAACTATTCCATTTGTGATTGTTTCTTCTGTGGACGCATACTACATCACTGAAAGATAAAGTTTCTCCTAAGTGTCTCATGAATTCCAGTCTGATCCCTAGAAGTACTATCTCATGTTAAAGAGATATACAGACCTGGAAAATGTCCCCAGGAAATGTTGTGATAGGCCAAAACAGGTCTTCATATTCATTGTGTTTATATGTCAGTTGACAGGAGGGTAGAATTTTCCCCTGTTGGAAGAAGACTTGTACATTGCTGACAGATTAATGATGTACTTTGATCGACGGAACAGGTTATCAACAGCCTGTACGAAGCTGAAATCACGTCTTTGAATTTTAATTCATCCTGTTTATGTCTTAATCAGAATAATTATTTCTTGATTTCTGTTGTTAATACCGACTAAAATACCTTCACATAGCCAGTAACACGTAGTATGGGAAAGCTAACAAGTTTCTACAATAGCGATGCTGCCACATAGTTAATCGATATGAGTTGTATAATTGTTTTAGATTTAGCGCCTGGCCTACAGTCTGAGTTTCTTGGGTTTATTCTTTCCAGAGTTTAGGGTGGGTAATGTTTTGAGCCTTTAAACTAGGATCTCCCGTATTTCTCCATTTTTTTAGCCATTTCCAAGTGAATTTTACTTCACGAAAAAATCCCCGATAAAATTGGCTTACTCTGCACATACTCGATGCTTAAAATGTGCAATTAT